CAACCACTGCCCTATACATTGCATTTAATTTATCTGAGCATAGAAAACTAGGGATAAGTAGGAAGGTTTAAAAGCAAATTTTATACCTTTTAAATATATATATTTATTTTTTTGTCAACTCCCCCTGTGAAAATAGGATATAGTCTAAATCAATAGTTTTCTCTTTTTTTAATCTTCACCCAGGGTTATGCTTTAATTTTGATAGAGAAAGGAAGGAGGAGCGGGGAGAGAGAAAGAGAAAGAGAAATATCAATCAGTTGCCTCCTGCATACACCCTAACTAGAAACAACCTCCAATCTGGGTGGGAATCAAACTCGAGATCTTTAGTTGTATAGATGATGCTCTAATCAACTGAGCCACCTGTCTGGGGCTACCATTTGTTTTCTTTATCATTGAAGTTCCAAGTTTTTCTCTGGTATCATTTCTCTTCTGCCTGAAGAACGTTCTTTAGCATTTCTTTTAAAGCAAGTCTGCTTGTGGCAGATTCTTGTTGTTTTCCTTCACTGCAAATGTCTTTTTGCCTGAATTCTCTGAAGGATATTATCACTGGATATAAAACTCTGGGTTCTGGCTTGATGGTTTTGATTATTTTTCTTTTCTTTTTTTATAAAGAACATTTTGTACCTTCTGGCCTCCAGGGCCTCTGATGAGAAATTCACCATCATTTGAATTGTAGTTCTCTACTTTAAAAAAAAAATTTCCCTTTATCTTTAGTTTTCATGGTTTGATTGTAAGGTGTGTAGGCATAAATTTCTTTGAGTTTATCCTGTTTGGGATTTTCGGAGTTATTTGAAATGTAAGTTTATGTCTTTTGCCAAATTTGGGGAGTTTCCTGCCATTATTTCTTCAACATTTTTTTCGCCATGTCACATTTTTTTCTCTCCTTCCAAGATTAATGACAAGAATGTTAGACCTTTGGTGTTATCCCTAAAACTAACTTTTGTTTTATTTTTAATTTCTTTTTCTTTGTTGTTCTAATTGGGTAATTTCTACTTATCCATCTTCAAGTTAACTCACTCCCCTGATCATTTTCATTCCTCTGTTGAACTTATCAAGTAAATTTTAAAATTTTGGTTATTGTAGTTGTGATTTCAAGAGGAAATGGGATAGATGGAGGTGGAAGAGAGTATATGGGGGATAAATGTTATGGGGAAAACAAAATAAAGAACAAAAATGAAATTTCTATTTTGTTCTTTTTTATGCCTTCTGTTTTATTTGTTATAGTAACAAATTTCAAGAACGTTTACTCTTCGCTCTAGCTTGTTTTGCTCAGTGGCTAGAGCATTGGCTTGTGGACTGAAGAATCCTGAGTTGCATTTTGGTCAAGGGCACGTACCTGGGTTGCAGGCTCCTCCCCAGACTGGGCCCTAGTCAGGGCTTGTGCAGGAGACAACCAATTGATGTGTTTCTCAAACATCAGTATTTCTCCCTGTCACTTCCTCTCTCTTCCACTCTCTCTAAAAATCAATGGAAAAATACCTAAGGTGAGAATTTAAAAAAAAGAAAAAAAGGGGAAAAAAGGAATGTTTACTCTTCCTTAGAGTATGCCTATTATAATTGCTTTAAGGTTAGTCTGATAATTCCAACATTTGCGTCATCTTGGGGTTGGTATCTATTATTTTTTCCTTGTGAGTTGTTGACATTTTCATGGTTCTTTGAATGCCAAATAATTTTGGATCATATCCTGGACATTGTGAATCTTACAAGATCTGAGCCTGGTTTAAGTATTAGAAAAATAGTAATTTTTTGTTGTTTTGTCCCAGCAGTGAATGGTCCAGTTAGGATTTACAAGTTTTGATTCACCTTCTGGGGGCTGTGATTCTAGTATCAGCTCAGTTTTCAAAGCCTTTGCACTGCCTTTTCAGATCTGCCTGTGTGTGTAACACCCAGAGACCAGGGCAGTGGGACATGGGCAATGGTCTGTACTTTACTTTAGTGCTTTGGTTGTGCTGTTTAGAGTGAGACCCACATGTACATTTCAGGATTGAGCCCATTAGCTCATAGAAATCATTATGGAATCCCTTTTTTGAGCCCCCTGCTCTATATAATCTCACTATGGTCTGTGGTTTCCAAGGTCTTCCAAAATATATGATAAACTCACGAAAGATGTACAATATCATTAGTTAACGGGATTACAAATTAAAACCACAATGAGATACCACTACACGCCCACTGGTATACTTAAAATTGAAAGAGCTGAGCAGTTGTTTGACTATCGTAGGTGAGTCGCAGAGCAACTGGAACATTCATACAATGCTGGTGGGAATGTGAAATAGCCACTTTGGAAAACTGTGTGATCTTTGGGACTAGTGATTATTGAATGTAATTTCCTCCTTTGGAAACTACATTAAAAAACAAACTTCTATCAACTGAAGGACTTGTGTGCATGCATTTAAGCATAACCAATGGAGGAAAAACTATGGGGAGGGAGGGCATGTTTGGGAATGGGGAGAGTGGGGATTGATAAGGTATGTACACATATAATATTTTAATTAAAAGAGCAATGCTTATTAAAATCCATTTTCAAAATTGAAAGAAAAAAAAAAAAAACAAGAAAAAAAAAACAACTGCCCTTTCCTGCCCCCTATACTGAGAATATATTTGTGTGAGTCATTGAATTGGAGCTGGCTAGTTACAGTCCTATTGAAGTTACTTTAGAAAGCTGATTATATAACACTATTACTGTAAATGTAGTCTTCTTCTTGCTCTTAGCTATTATTTTTTAAATTGCTACTGAAGTTAAACAACTAAGGACAGATAAAAGAATGGCAGATTTATAGTGTTATAAGTAGTCTACTTCACTGCTTCAGGCATAATTTTAGGAATGTGACTTTGACCATTTTTGCAATTTAGCACAGCAATTAAGTTTTACCTATACAAAAAACTAATTCACTTGCGTTGCTCTGAAATTGTTATTTTTATGTGTTCTGCTTCCTCATTAAGACTCTAAACTCTGAATGAAAGTATGTTTCTTATTTACAAATCTCTATAATCTTAGTATAATGTCTTATACATGGTGACCATTGTACTGTGATTAATATTATAATAAAAATTGAAAAAGATTAATAAATATGTACATAAGCATACATACGTCCATATGTATACATACAAGTGAAAGTTAGCAAAGATAATTATAGGTCAACTGTGACTAAAAGTGACTAGCATCACTTAATTATTAAATATGACTGGGTAGGGATATGAAACTCAGCATCTCACTGGTTTCCTATGAGACGCAAAGTGAGTACAAGATACTAGTAACTAGAAAAAGAGAAGGCCCAACAATGTAACCTTTTTTTTATATAAGGAAAAAAAAAAGGTTACAGAGCTCTGGTGGTTATAAACTTGCATATATTCTGGGAAGAGAACGTCTATTTGATATCTCACATAGATGCATAATGGGCACCTCAAATTTAATACATTCAAATTGAGTTCCTTGGATTTTATTTACCCAAAGGAGTTGAAAACTTATCCACACAAAAAACCTGCACACAGATGTTTATAGCAACTTTATTCCTAATTACCAAAACGTGGAACCAACCAAGATGTCTTTCTGTGAGTGAATAAATAAACTGGTGCATCCAAACAATGGCATAGTATTCAACAAGACATGAGCGATTAAGCTATAAAAAGGCATGGAGAAACCTAAAATACCTATTACTAAATGAAAGAAACAAAAGTGAAAAGGCTACATAGAGTGATTCCAGCTATATGACATTCTGAAAATGGCAAAACCATATGGAGATATTATAGTAAAAAGAACAGTGGTTGGCAAGGGTTAGTGGGGAGGAAGGGGTGAATAGGCAGAGCACAGAGGATTTTCAGGACAGTGAAACTACTCTCTGTGATACTATAATGCATCTATGAGGAGATATCAATAGACTTTCTCTTCCCAGAATACATGGAAAGTATGGCATTATACATTTGTCCAACAAGAGTGAACCCTAATATAGTAATGAGGTAATATGGTAATGAGCATCAGTTGTAACAAATGCGCCTTCTGGTGGGGCGGGGTGGGTAGTGGAGACTGTGCATGTGTGGGAGCAGGGAGTATAGGAGAAATTTTTGTACCTTCTGCCTCAGTTTTTCTGTGAACCTAAAACTGCCCTAAAATAAAGTCTATTGTAAAAAATCAAATGATTTTTTAATCTTCACCCAAGGATACGCTTTTATTGATTTTGAGAGAGATAGGAAGGTGGGGTGGGTGGTAAGGGAAGAGAGAAAGAGAAATATCAATCAGTTGCCTCCTGCATAAACCCCAACCTGGGTGGGAATCAAACTCAGGAACCATAAGGTAATACAATAGGCTTTCTACAGAATGAATGTGTGGGCTTACAGAGATGTAGAAATGGTGGAGGTGGCTGACTGTGGGTGCTTTTCCCCCTTTTTGCTTCCATTAAACACATTTTGAAAGGGTTTGTTAAGTCTTTTGTTTTTTTTCCCCCCAATGTGTATAGCTGCCCCACTTTATATACAGCCCCCCTTTTTTTTTTTCTTATGCCAACTTGATAAAGGGAAGTATAGTTAGAATTGTAGGCACTTAATAAGGCTTTGGCATAAATGTCCTTGACAACTTTCAGATAACATTTATCCTTCCTGCTCTGTCAAAAATCTTAACCTCTCTGTGCCTCACATCTGTCAAATGAGTGAAACAGTAATAACTACTTCTTATAGTTGTAAAGATGAAACGTCAATACACATAAAGCTTATAAAATATGTCTGACATGTAAAGTTATCATTATTGCTATTGTTATTAACTGATGTGTTCATGCTTTTCATAACTGTTTATCCTATCAGATATATTTCCTTTATATATATTCATCTTCAATGTATATGCCTTTAACCTTCCTTCTCAGTCTCCTCAGTAATTCAAGAACTGTCTCCAATTTCAAATAATTTAATGAAAAGAAAATGTATAGATCCAGAGATGGCAGATTTAACTTCCTTGGTCTTCCTGAGAGTAGAATCCTGAGAGTAAGCTTACCTTTTCCTTCTGGTGACAGGTGGTATGCAAGATTATAATTACATATGGGCCAACTGTTTTGAGATCACATTGGAACTGTCTTGTTGCAAGTACCCCCCTGCTTCGCAGCTTCAGCAAGAATGGGAGAACAATCGTGAGTCTTTGATCACATTGATTGAAAAGGTAAAAGTAGTGATTGGAAGGTTTGAAAGGTTGGGGTATGGAAATAATGGATTGAGTAAGGGGGGAATTTAGTTGCATATGAATAACAATCTATTAGATAGCCTTCATCTGTTTTTATTATTTAAAATTGTAGATTATCTTTAAAAAGTATGTTGGACTCTATTAGAACATATTCTAGTTGTACCTCCTTGCCCTCTCCCCCAGCTCTTTTCCTCCTGTGAGTTTTCTTTTTTTTTTTCTTTTTTTTCCTTTTTAAAAAAAATATATTTTATTGATTTTTCACAGAGATGAAGAGAGAGGGATAGAGAGTTAGAAACATCGATGAGAGAGAATCATCGATCAGCTGCCTCTTGCACACCCCCTACTGGGGATGTGCCCTCAACCAAGGTACATGCCCTTGACCGGAATCGAACCCGGGACCTTTCAGTCCGCAGGCTGACGCTCTATCCACTGAGCCAAACCAGTCCTGGCTCTGTGAGTTTTCTTTAACTGTCTTAGAATGCTTTGGTAAACTGAAATAATAGTCAAATTTGTACTACCATGTTCTTATAATGTCATGTGATTATACTTGCTAGAGGACCTTTACCACTATATGCACTATGAACATAAATTTAATTTAAGCATCAGACAGGCTGATACACTACTGGATCTAACAGAAAGTACCACTTATGCTTTGTTGAGAAAATTGGAAGTCCAGCTTTGAGGAGAGGAAATTTCAAAAGCACATTACCAATTTTCAGATTTTTAAGATTTTTTGACATTTTGAGATTTCTAACACATATAATTTAAGTTCAAGGTTTAATATTTTTGTATATTTAACTTGGAGGGATTGAATAAAATATTTCAGGGAGATAGAGTTGGGGAAAAAAAATTCCTTATTTTTTTAGGAATTCTTTATCAACACAAAAAGGTTATAAATTCTCTTACCTTCCAAATTGATTGCCTCTGAGCAGTCTGCTTTGATTCTTGTTTTTTTAGGTCCACATTGGAGTTACAGGATTTGTTAAAGACTCAGTATCAGGATCTGGCTTAGAAAATGCAACCATCTCAGTAGCTGGTATTAATCATAATATCACAACAGGCAGATTTGGTGATTTCCACAGATTACTTGTTCCTGGGACTTACAACATTACAGCAGTTTTAATTGGGTAAGAATTTAGATTATACTCTAAACACCAAACCTTTGTTTATATCTAAGACAGAAATATAGTCTAGGAAATACTATTTATTGTATCTGGCTTTTATCTTTTCCTTATTTTCGGATTCTCCTTTTATAATGAGAAAATACTGTTGTGGAATCTTTTGTCACATAGTCTAATAGTACAACTGGATACGAGGCATAATTGTAAAATTGAGGGGAAGGACAGTTTTAAAAGCTTGAAAAGATGTCAGCTGTGTAAAGCATTGCTTTAAGGCAATTGAATGCCAGGGTATCAGAAGCTCTGAGCTTTGTGAAAGACATTTTGAGAGCTGTCTTTATCATTATCTTTCCAATATATGAAATGAATAGTTTCTCACCTTCCCTGGAAGCCTTTCTGTAAGATCAGTTTGCTAAGGATTAAATTAATAGCCTTTAATTTAAGTTTTAACTTTCCTATTTGGAATAGTTGGAATGTCAGTTTAATAAGGCACTGCAAAGAATTGGATAATTTATCCCTTCTTTGAGTATGATAGCAATGGTGACAGTAGATTAATGAACTCCATCTTTCAATTCTTTCTAACCCTTTGAAAGTGCTTTCTTGCAAGCCTAATCTGTGGAACCTGGAAGATGGTAAGAGAAATAGTTCTTTAAAGACATAATTGGGGAGTCTGTGATAATATCCTAAAGGTCTTGAATTTACACAGTTATGTTTATTTAGTTGAGTTTTGACAGACCACTAAGTGCTAAGTATGGTGAGTCGTATGCTTTTATAATGTTAAAGCAGTGTGTGTTTTACTTTAACTCCAAGCCATCTACTTTTTCAAATATTTTTTTTCAGGTATATGCCACTGACTATTAATAATGTAATAGTGAAAGAAGGACCAGCTACAAAGGTGAATTTTTCCCTGAGGCCAACTGTGATCTCAGAAATCCTTGACACAACGGAGGCTGTAGTAACTGCGAGCACAGTTGCTGTACTTGATCTTTCTCCTGGAACACAGTCCTCCCACCAGCCAATTCAGCCAAAGGACTTCCGCCACCACCATTTCCCTGATATGGAAATCTTCTTGAGAAGGTTTGCTAATGAATATCCCAACATCACCCGGCTCTATTCATTGGGAAAATCAGTAGAGTCAAGAGAACTTTATGTAATGGAGATATCTGATAATCCCGGTATTCATGAACCAGGTAGGTAGTGGTCTTACATATAATTTTAGTAGTGCCTCTCAAATCTATATACTAGAATATTGCTATATTTCGTCTGAAAGGTCACTTAGGGTATGTGTAACTGGAACAAAGAAATGTAACCAATCTTGCCAGAAAAGAAGAAAATTCATTTAATAACCCCTATTAGATACAATATTTTACATACTGCATAGATAATATTCTTTCTGTTAATGGTATTTTTATTTTCATAGTATATAGCATATATACATGCTTTGAGTCTGCTTAGACATATGTATTAGTAAGGAAGCTGCTTTATAAGATGCTTTTCCATGCTTCTTTGATTGAAAGATATCTTTTCTTAAATTTTTGGCTCAGTATCTTTGCATATGTTGGGGGAAAGTAAAGAGAGTTCATAATAAATGGAAAGGGAAAAAGTCTTCTACATAATTATTTTGTTTTCAGGTGAACCAGAATTTAAGTACATTGGAAATATGCATGGAAATGAAGTGGTGGGACGAGAACTGCTATTGAACCTTATTGAATACCTTTGTAAGAACTTTGGAACAGACCCTGAAGTTACAGATTTGGTTCGTAGCACTAGAATTCACCTGATGCCATCCATGAATCCTGACGGGTATGAAAAGGCTCAGGAAGGTAAAGAATAGCTGTTTATTAATGTTTAATCTTTTTTTGTTATTGTATGGTACTAGAAGCCCGGTGCATGAAATTTGTGCATGGGGCGGCTGGTGCGGGGGTGAGGGGTGTCCCTTCAGCCCAGCCTATACCCTCTCCAATCCAGGACCCCTTGGGGGATGTCTGACTGCCAGTTTAGGCCCGAAACCAGCAGTCGGATATCCTTCTTACAGTCCTGGACTGCTGGCTCCTAATTACTCACCTGCCTGCCTGATTGGTCGACCCTAACTGCCCCCCCCTGCCGTCCTGATTGCCCCTCATTGCCTCTGCATGCCAGCCTGATTGCCCCTTCCCTGCTGACCTGGTCACTCCTGACTGCCCCCATGCTGCCTGCTTACCCCTTCTGGCCCCCCTGCTGGCCTGGTTGCATCCAACAGCTCCCTGCTGCCAGCCTGTCACCCCACGCAGCCTGCTTGTTCAGTTGTTTGGTCGTCCCTCATTAACCCCCCTGCCAGCCTGGTCGTAGGCAGCCATCTTGTAAGGGCATGAGGGTCAATTTTCATATTACCTCTTATTATATATGATGATTATTTGCGGGTAGAAGAGAATTTGATCTAATTGTTTTCCTCAAATTTCTTCATAATTGGTTCCAGCTTTTGTATTCTTATAAGACCAGTTCATTCAACAATAATGTGATCAAGTTTATATTTAATGGTTTTCTTTACCTTGATAATTTCTCTTATTTACTAAAAATAGTTAAGATTTTTACAAATTGTTCCTTTTTAAGACTGATTCTCATTTAATTATTATTTCAGGAACCTTTTGAGTCCCAAGTTCTACTCCCCATGCATGTTCTAAATCTGCTAAGTTATTAATTTCCCATTTCTTTGCCTCCTCTGGGCTAGCCAATCTCTCCTGGGGCCTGGAAAGCAACTTCTTCACACAGGCCACCTTTACAGACTCCATCTTTCTCAAGCTGTGGTTCCTTCAGGCAATGGTACCAGTGTGTTGCATAGGTACCACATATGAATATGCAGCCACATGATTTATTACTCTCACTGACTAAACACTGAATCAACTACTGAATGACCAGGTTAATATATATATATTATAATTCAAATTCTCTCCCCAAGGACCTCATCCTTTGTAGCTTCACAAATTCCTTTCACATTCCCCCCTTGAGAAAGGTGGAACTACTTACTACTAGTAAGCCCTCCAGTGTGTCGTCTTTATGCACTTCCTTTTTTCTTCTCTCATTGTAACAACAATAATAGGCTCCCATCCCATATTAAGATGAAATAAGCTTAAGCGTAACCCTTTCTCCCCCATCAGGTTAAACTTCCAACTATATCCTTGGCTAACTTTACCTTTTTGTGATTACATTCATGTGATCCACAATTTTCTTATTTTCAAATGGTCTGTTTCTTTATGCTATTTTAGTGACCTGTATACCAGTACAATAGAGTCCCTCTTGTGTGAGTCATGCCCGCTCAACATTGTGATCATGTGATCACAATGTCATTGTATGTCTGTTGACAATTGACCAATACTTTATTATAATGTATATACTTGGATGTTTTTCCCCTCAAAGTTTGACCAGAGGGCATAAGTGAAAAGAAAATGGTTTTACTTCTCTGCTCAAAAGATTTGGAAGAGGTGAATTTTTTAAATGTATATTGTAAAAAAAGATGAGAATTTTAATTATAGTGTGATTGGTCATAGTGAAGCCTGATGTGTTCACACTTACCCTTGAGTTAAGATAGCTGAAGCAGTATGTGTAAAATGTAAGTAAAACGTGACTTAAATTTGAATCTTGTATCATATAGGAGATTCAATAAGTGTAATTGGCAGAAACAACAGCAACAACTTTGACTTGAACCGAAATTTCCCAGACCAGTTTGTTCAGATCACAGATCCAACCCAACCAGAAACCATTGCTGTAATGAGCTGGATGAAGGCCTATCCATTTGTGCTGTCAGCAAACCTGCACGGAGGTAATAGCAACTTGATATTCTACTAATTAAGTCTCAATGAGAGTATTTGAAAATCCTGGTGAAATTTTATATGTTTAATAGACTATCTTAAAATGGGTATCCTGTTATTGCTTTTATGGCAGACAATAATGAAGTTCCCTTTCATAACTTTTAAGCCCATTTCCTACCTGTTTTGCTCCTTCCTCTCTCCCCCCTCCTCCCATACTCTTTCCTCCCCACCAATTCTTCTTTTTCCCTCTCTCTCCTCTTCTCCCTTTTTTTCTCTAGCTCTCTCTTAGTTCTTCAAGTGCTTTATATTTATCCCTCAGAAGTGTTTTATATTTACCCCTCTCATTGGGAATTTGATAACATTTATCATTTATAAAAATTAAAACACTAACAGATTCAAATGTTTAGTCCTATTTCTCCCTAAAGTTAAATAATAAACACTTTTATGTAAATTTAAATTTTGACATTGTCTTACTTATTACTTGCTATATATATTTACCTGCAGCACAGTGACCTCATTCTCATGTATTGTCTGAGCTTATACACATCCATATCATTCATCAGGAATTGATCAGTTGAATACAATGAGAGATCAAGATTAAAAATGATCACAACATCCAACTAGGATTGTATGAATAAAAGAGAGACAGTGTCAATATCCAAGAGAATTGAAAACTATGTCTACACATAAACTTGTACATGAATGTTCACAATAGCATTATTAAAGTAATAAAAAAAGGACCAACAACCCAAATGTCCATATACTGATGAGTAGATAAATAAAATGTGGTAAACCCATTACAATGAAATATTTGGACATGAAAAGGAATGAAGTACTGATGCATGCTACAACATAGATAACTGTGAAAACATGCCAAGTTATAGAAGCCAATCACAAGAAACCATATATTGTATGATTACATTTTTATTAAATATTCAAAATAGGCAAACCCATAGAGGTTGTGGATAATGGTGGGAGGGAATATGGAGTGACTGCTAATGGGTACAGATTTTGGGGGATAAGGGTGATGAAATGTTCTGTAATTAGATAGAAATTGTATAACCTGTGAATATACTAAATAACATTGACTTAAGATTTGTATGGTATGTGGACTATATCTCAATAAAGCTGTTTTTGTTTTTTAAAACAGTGAAGGTATTAGCACCAGGGAAAGGGGAAAGAAATGTAATGTCAACATTTGGCAGAATATCTGAAGAAGTAGTATCACAACTGAGATTTGATGCATATTGATTAACCTAATGTCATTCTAAAATGTCATTCTATTTTAGAATGACAGTATATACTTAAGATTTTTAGATTTAAGAAGTAAATTGAGGTTCTCTAAAAATTGCTTTGAAAACTAGCCAGTAGTAGAAAAAAAACACTTCCACATTTGGTAATCATGGATGGCTCTCAAAGATCCAAATAGAATTATGAAGTTACAGGTTGTTTGGCAAAATAACTTTTAAAAGTATTCTATAACAAGTTTGATAGGAAATATTTTTTTTCACCGAGACCGGTTTGGCTCAGTGGATTGAGCATCGGCCTGCGGACTGAAAGGTCCCAGGTTCGATTCCGGTCAAGGGCATGTACCTTGGTTGCAGGCACATTCCCAGTAGGGGGTGTGCAAGAGGCAGCTGGTCGGTGACTCTCTCTCATCGATGTTTTAACTCTCTTTCCCTCTCTCTTCCCCTCTGTAAAAAATCAATAAAATATATTTAAAAAAAAATATATATATATATATATTTTTTTTTTTTTCATTTTGAGCTTTTAAAAATAATCTCAGAATGTATCACATGTCATATTGGCTAAATCTGAAAACAATTACTAGTTACATTCCAGTGAAAATAATTTATAAATTTACACATGAAATATCAAAACCTTGGCATGGTTTCAAGTGATAAAAGCCAGTCACAAGATTGGGAGATTCATCTTCAATCATGAAGACATGTATTTTTTACATGACATATTTTGCTTTCTCATCCTAAAGTCTTTAAATGGGTTTTGGCAAAGAAATTTTAAAAAAGGATTTTGTTTTAGAAGGATAGGAAGGAATACAGAGAAAAGTAAAGTTCCTTTTTGTAAATTTTGATACTACTAATTGAGGTGAAATTTATATCACATAAAATTAACCACTTTCAAGTGAAACGGTTCTCTAATGTTTTTAGTGTATTCGCAATCTTGTGCAACCACCATCTCTGTCCAGTTCCACAGCATTTTTATTTCCTTACCCATTAAGCAGTTGCTCCCTTTTCCCACTTTCCCTTGAGCCCTGTCAATCAACAATTTGTGTTCTGTCTCTGTGGACTTGCCTATTTTGGTTATTTAATAGAAATGGAATCATATATGTGACCTTTTTTGACTAATCTCTTTAATTTAGCATGATGTTTTCAAGGTTCATTTATATTGTAGCATGTATTAGTACTTCATTCCTTTTTATGACTGAATAATGTCCCATTGTATGCATATGTCACAATTTTGTTTTTGTCCATGTGTTTAATTTTAATATTTTTTCTTTATTGATTAAGGTATTACATATGTGTCCTTATCCCCCCATTGCCCCCATACACACCCCATTCATGCCCTCACCCCCCTGGTGTTTGTGTCCGTTGGTTATGCCTGTTTGCATGCATATAAGTTCTTTGGTTGATCTCTTCCCCTTACCATCCCCCTCCCCTGTCTTCCACAATTTCTTTATCTGTTTCTCTGTTGATGCATATTTAGGCTGTTTCTACTCTTTTAGTATTGTGAATAATACTGCTGTGAAAATTGGCATACAATTTTTTGAATCCCTGTTTTTGATTCTTTTGGGTAATTTTATGTTTAGGTTTATGGGGCACTGCCAAATTTTCCCCCCGACAATAACTGAATTATTTTACATTTTAAACTAGGAATATATATGAGTTTCAGTTTCTCTGCATCTTCACCAATATTTGTTTTTATTATTTTTTTTTATTATAGCCAGTATAGTGGTGAAAAGTGCTATCTCATTATGGCTTTTAAAAATTGATTTTAGAAAGAGAGGAAGAGAAAGAGACAGACAGACATTGATTTATTGTCACACTTATTGATGCATTCATTGGTTGCTTCCTGGGTGTGTCCTGACCGGAGAATGAACCCACACCTTGGCATATATGAATGGCATATATGACACTCTACCTGGCCAGTGCTTCTCATTATGGTTTTGATGTGCATTTCCCTATTGACTAAATATGTTAAGCATCTCCTGTGTACTTTTGGCCATATCTGTTTAAATCTTTTGCCTATTTTTAATTGTTGTTGTTTTTCTGTTGGGATTGTGTGTGTGTGTGTGTGTGTGTGTGTGTGTGTGTGTATTTTTGTTGTAATAGTTTTTTTTTTTTTAATAGATTTTATTGATTTTGTACAGAGAGGAAGGGAGAGAGATACAGAGTTAGAAACATCAATGAGAGAGAGTCATCGATCAGCTGCCTCCTGCACACCCCCTACTGGGGATATGCCCGCAACCAAGGTACATGCCCTTGATCGGAATCGAACCCGGGATCCCTCAGTCCCCAAGCCGACGCTCTATCCATTGAGCCAAACTGGTTTCGGCTGTAATAGTTCTTTATATAGTATGGGTTCTGTCACCTTGTAAAATTGCTGATTTGAAATTATTTTCTCCCGTTTTATAGGCGGGTTTGTCTGTTTGTTTGTTTACATTAATAATGCCCTTTGACACACAAAAGTTCTTAATTATGATGAACTCAAATTTTTCTTTTTTCCTTTGTTGCTCATATTTTTTATGTCAATACTAATTATTTTTTAAAAATAAACTGTTTCATAGAAGCATTTTAAATCTTTTATGACCTTTTTTACCTTCAAGAATTAACCATTTGAAAGATAGTATTGAGTAGGAGTTGATGTTGACTTTTTAAAAATGTTTTTGAATTTTTAGGTATGCTTCAGAGGTCCAGGGTACAATAAAAATTTTTTTTAGAAATTTGTCTAAGAAGAGGTGTTGAAGTATACTTGTTCTTATTAGAACTATTGTGGGAATAGAGTGAGCATAATTTTTTTTTTATATTTGCTTCTTTTTTTAATTTAATATATTTTATTGATTTTTTACAGAGAGGAAGGGAGAGAGATAGAGAGCTAGAAACGTTGATGAGAGAGAAACATCGACCAGCTGCCTCTTGCACACCCCGCACTGGGGATACACCCGCAACCAAAGTACATGCCCCAGACCGGAATCAAACCCGGGACCTTTCTGTCCGCAGGCCGACGCTCTACCACTGAGCCAAACCAGTTTCGGCTTTTATATTTACTTCTTAAAGAACATTTTTAATATATAAATGTTATCACTTTTTGTGATAACAAAAATCACTTCATCTGAGTTCAAGTTGAATATGTTCCTTCATTCCCATTCTCATGAAGTGGCGTGGTAAAAAAGAGAAAAAGACAAAAGTTAATGGCTTAGTAGAAGCCTAATAAATGGGCAGATGAAAACAACGTGACTAAATGGAAAATAAAGTATTCCACTCTACGGTGGGGGGCGGGCATGTGTAGCGCTGGGCTCTTGTTTGAGAAGTACCCTGCTTTATGCCCTGCAGGGAGCAGGAAGGGAATTGATATCCCTTACACATGTCTTAATGCATTTATATCTTTACCTTAGGTCATGAAAGTCACATGATATAACTCCAGTTGACTAATTTTTAATTTAAGGATAAGATTTTTAAAAATATTTGTTATTGTTTTTAAAGAGAGGAAGGGAGAGGGATAGAGAGAGACATTGATGAGAGCTACATTGATCAGCTACCTCCTGCATGCCCCTTACTGGGGATCGAGCCTGCAACCCAAGCATGTGCCCTGATTGGGAATCGAACCAGTGATCTCTTGGTTCATGGGTCACTAACCACTAAGCAACACCAGCTGGACATTTTTACCATTTTTTTTCTGAGTGGAGGTCAGGGATGGCTCTGATCTCTATTCGCAATTCATTTAACTTCTGTTTTAGACTCCACGTCTGCAAAATGAGATGGGAGGATTAATTGGACATGAAGGGTCCTTCCACCCCACCCCAGAGTCCCGCTTTTTATTGAGCATGTCACAAAAGAGGTTTAATAAAAAAGACGGAAGCCCATGTTATACTAAGACTCCTCAGATTCTTCTTTCTTTGCCTCCACTTTCTTCTCCTCAACTGGGCAGCAGTGGTGGAGGGGCAGACCCTCCTGCTGGGGCAGCACCAACAGCTGGGACAGGTCCACCAGCCCCTAGATTAGATGAGGCTTCCGACGTGAACAGTGGCCAAGCCTTCGCAAACAAGCCTGGCCAGAAAGGCCAACGTTTACACTGGCTGCCTTAATGAGGACATTGATCTTATCCTCCATGACTGTCACCTCGTCGTCCTGCAGGATGAGGGCCGAGGGCTGAGTAGATGCAGGCGAGCTCCTAGAAGGAGGCCATGGTCTGGGTGTGTGCTGGGCACGTGCTGGCTGGCAGCCTGATGAAGTGAGGGCCTCACACCAGTGCAGCTTTAGCTTGCTCAGAAGGACCAGTACCTTACCCGGCAGCTGAGGAAAGGAGCCAAGGGTTCCTCCTTATTTTAAAATTTCACGGCCTTATAAATGTCTGAATTTTACTGAGAAAATAATCAAATTTTGCTGAATTTTTCTGATTCTAAATATTATAAAAATAAGGTTGTTTAAATTAAGCCTGTATACTTCTGGTTTCAGCTCTGGCATGTATAATTATGCCTGTAAGTTGAGGTGAATTCCTAATACCTATCCAGTTAAGGAAAGCTTTTTAAGTGTCATGTAAGCTATTTAATATTTTTTTTACTTATTACTTTGTTTTTCTGTTGAGGAAATGAGCAACTTTTTCATTTCTGTTTAAGAAATTAGCTTTGGAAAACTGTGTTGGCTCACTGTCTCTGGCAGTATTGTGAAAAGCTTACTTTATGTTAATGATTCATCTTGAAACAGATAACATGATCCGTTTTCCTCTTTTCCCTGGCAGGTTCTTTGGTGGTTAACTACCCTTTTGATGATGATGATCAAGGGTTTGCAACATACAGTAAATCACCTGATGATGCTGTGTTTCAGCAAATAGCACTTTCTTATTCCAAGGTAAGCTTGTGCCTATACATGACGTGCCGTACAACTGATTCTGTCATTTAAAAACGCAGGAAAACCGAGTCCTGCAGGACTCGGGTTGGGTGCTTTCTTTTCTTAGGAGATTTCCATGATTCCTTCTGGGAGACCTTATTAGTTTTTCTCCTCTGTTTCCCACCCTATATTTGAACATACTAAATGTTTTTCCCTATTAGCCTTTAAGCTCAGATAATATCTTTCCCTCTATGGTTTTTAGCACAGTACCTGGAACATAATACATACTAGTTTATTTCATTTGGTAAGTACTTAAGTCATAAAACTAGCAGAGTAGTCTAAAGCAAGGCTTGACAAACTACAGCTCTGGGGCCAAATCCAGCCCACCCCTTGTTTTTGCAAATAAAGTTTTATTGACACACAGCTACATCCATTCTTTTACATTTTGTCTGTGACTGCTTTCTGTTGTGGCATTTGAAAATTAGTCAGTCTGATTCACCATGTTGATAGACTAGTGAAGAAAAAGGCTGCGGTCATCTCAGTAGAAACAGCATATTTTAATAGTTGCAACAGATTCTTTAGAGGCTATAAATTCTGGGGTTTTCACTATCTGGCCCTTTACAGAAAAAAAATTGCCAACCTTGTCTGAGGTATTTAAGTGTCTATAGTAATATATAACAAAGGAAAGCAAGAAGAAATTTCTTTATTTTCTAAACTTTCTATGGTGAACACACATTATTTTTACAATCAGAAATGTTATACTTGTGTACATGTGTGTTTAATTTAAAAACTATTATTTAAAATCATTAAAAGTGGGGACTTGGACGAGGTTTGTTTCAATTTTTTTAAAAACTGCAAATAGAGTTCACTGAAAGTGTTGTACTTTTTTTTTTAATATATTTTATTGATTTTTTACAGAGGGAAAGAGAGAGGGATAGAGAGTTAGAAACATCGATGAGAGAGAATCATCGATCAGCTGCCTCTTGCACACCCCCTACTGGGGATGTGCCCACAACCAAGGTACGTGCCCTTGACCGGAATCGAACCCTGACCCTTGAGTCCACAGGCTGATGCTTATCCATTGAGCAAAACAGGTCTGGGCTAAATTTTTTATCTTACTATTGACAGTCTGACTTTATTGGTTGTAGATGATGAAGACTATTACTGCAACTCTGTGTCCTCTAATCACAGCCTTCCATCATTCCACTTCCCTATGCATTCTGTACATATAGACTTTGAGAGCATGCAGAGTTTCTAAGAAAGGGAGTACGTTTATTACTTTGGGCACAGCACTTTTAGAGGGATGCACATGGATTAATGAGAAGAATTAGATACCCCCAAATTATAAAAGTAATGTTAGATTTTGCACATGTCCCTGTCACCTTCTCTGCCTGTTCTTAGAGTTCCATTCTTGACCCTCATTGTGAATTCTAATTTCTTAGTCTTTTTAAATATCCTGTGGCCTTTTTAATCCTTTGATTTGATTTACTTTCTATTTAGCCAAGACACATTGACATACCTTTCAGTGATTCTCTCACAGCTTAGGATGTGTTATACCTATATCTGCCTTGCCAATATCCAGTCTGTAGTATCACCATGTCTCTATTCCATTCCAGTATTCCAAGTATACTCCAGAAATGTCGTGCAGTCATGGCAATTGACTACACTGCATATGTATGCTCTCTAACTTCAGCTGAGCACTCACTTTTACTTGCTTTGCTACTTGACTCCCTGGCTCATTTGATTCTAAGCCTTTATCATCTACTTCAGCCTCCTAATCCCAGCTTTACTCCTCTTAGTCCCAGGAGATCACTTTTCCTTGAACTAAAGTAGAACTTTGAGTAACATGAGGTGATTTCATTCAGATTCACATTCAGATTTAGATTTATGTCTTACCTATATTCTCCCCCATTACTTGGTCCTACCACGCCTGTCTCTTCTAGAATATTATGTCCTTTTTTTTTTTTTTTTTTTTTCTGTTGTAAATGAGAGAGGTGATAATTAAAATCCTCAGTCTTGCCCTAACCGGTTTGGCTCAGTGGATTGAGTGTTCGCCTGCGGACTGAAAGGTCCCAGGCTCGATTCCGGTCAAGGGCATGTATCTTGGTTGCGGGCACATCCCCAGTGAGGGGTGTACAAGGGCAGCTGATTGATGTTTCTCTCTCATCAATGTTTCTAACTATCCTTCTCCCTTGCACTCTGTAAAAAAAAAATCAATAAAATATATATATTTAAAAATTTTTTAAATAATAAAATCCTCAGTCTTTACTTACAGCCTCTTTTCTCTTGGTTGTGATCTGTCATGATTATCATGTGCCCACCCACCTTTGCCCCACCACAAGGCTGAGAGGAAAAGCAGACCAAGAGAATCTGTTGAGACCAAGGAGAGGAGTTAATAACGGGCAGGACTAACGGTGATTTGGAATGACCACAAAATATTAAATATACCCTAAATCTGAAAATATTAAAAAAAGTAACTGGGCAGATGAGAGCACTGGAATATAAGGAAGAGATTTCAAAGTACAACTTAAAGGATCTGTTGTGATTTAAAAGGATAGGCAGCAATTTAAAGGGAAATCTTTCCGCTCATAGCTTCTGAGGGAGAAAGGCAAAATGAAATGAAGACATGCTCTTTGACAATTGAATAGTGAAGGCAAAAATAAAAAAGAAAAAGGAAAGAAAAAGGGGGGAAATATAAGGTTGACCAAGATAAAGGAGAGTCATAAAATCAGAGGACTTGCAACTCCACCTTTACATCAAAGCAAATAAATTAAAAAAAAAAAAAAACACAGAAAACCACACTCACACTAAAGTATCTTGATTGCTAGACTAACAGAAAAAGATACTGTTAACCAGGAATCATGCAAAACAGCCCAATATCATAAAAATGAACATGAGGTAAAGAAAACCATCGGAGAGCTATTGCAGAAAATCAGGAAATGAAACTTCACACTTACCTCCTGAGGAAACCTTACCACCACCACCACAAAAAAAAAAAAAAAAAAAAAAAAAAAAAAAAAAAAAAAAAAAAAATCCACACCAAGAAGCAGAAGAAAACTAAGTCTACACTCAAAACAGATTACTGGTAATATACCCCAAAACACACTGAGAATAGGGAAAACCAGGTAGGCTCATATATTTGAAAAATGAAAACAGAAAGGAAAGAAAAAGGAAATAAGAAATAAAGGAGAATTGATAGAACTCAGGAAAGAAATGGAGGAAAAAGACAAAATTCTCTCTAAAATGAAGAATAAATTACAAGAGTTATGCTGAAACTGGTTTGGCTCAGTGGATAAAGCGTTGGTCTGCGGACTGAAAGGTCTCAGGTTCGATTCCGGTCAAGGGCATGTACATTGGTTGCGAGCCCATCCCCGGTAGGGGGTGTGCAGGAGGCAGCTGGTCGATGTTTCTCTCATCGTTGTTTCTAGCTCTCTATCCCTCTCTCTTCCTCTCTGTAAAAAATCAATAAAATATATTTAAAAATAAAAGAGAGAGCTAAAAGCCTCCTCCTTTCCAATTTCAAACTTACTACAAAGCTATAGTAATTAAGATACTGTAAAATAGAGTTGAGAGTCCAGAATTTATTTTTACATTTATGGTCAATTGATTTTTTTCTTTTCACAAAGGGCACTAAGACTATTTAATGGGTTGTGGGCTTGATCCCCAATAGGGAGCATGCAGGAGGCAGCCCATCGATGCTTCTCGTTCTTTCTCTTTCCTTTCTCTCTCTCTAAAAATAAAAAAAAAATTTTTTAAATTAAAACACACACACACACACACACACATATATATATATATGTAAGACAGCTGTTTTGAGGAGTAATGTCTTTTCTTTAGAAGACAATAGGTGCAACCAGTTGTAACAGGAAAAGGTAATTGCACTGAATGCAGTCAAAGCATTGAGGAGTCATTTCAGTCCCCCTCAAAGTTGAGAAAGCTGCTTACTGCATGTTGTATGTGAATTATCTTTTCTGGACTTTAAGATTCTTCGAAGCATGAAATGAAAGTATAAATATGAATAGGTATGGGTTTTTTTTTTAGTTTGTTTTTTTTTAATGGAGTAGTTGGTTTGGTTTAAATATTTTAGTTGTGAGTGAGAAATGAAGTCTAAATTTTTACAAAGCATATTTAATTTCGATTAAAAAAATAGATAATGAAACATTTTAAAAATCTAAATAGTATAGACATCTATGCATTGAAAAGCCTCATTGCTTTCCTTGGCTTTCTGTACCTTTAAGCCCCACATACACCTTTTAAGTAACTGCTTTTATTTTTCCTTATCCTCCCTGTGGTGTTTTTTTTTTGTTTGTTTGTTTGGGTTTTTTTTATACAGATACAAAAAATACAAATAAAGATTCTGTTTTCCCCCCTCAGGAAAATTCCCAGATGTTTCAAGGTAGACCTTGCAAGAATATATACCCTAATGAATACTTTCCTCATGGAATAACAAATGGAGCTAATTGGTATAGTGTCCCAGGTAAACATTAGTTTATATTAAGGTCATATAATTTGATGGATTTTCTGTATCCCTGGATAATGCTTCTTGTTACTAATTTTTTAATTTTGAGAAAGACTCATTATTTTAAAGATATTATTTAGTTTAAAATATTCAAATAACCTTTTCAAGTGTTTTTACATTTGATGCACAGTGAATAAAAATAATGCACTAAAACTTGATTAAAAAAAAAAGTGTTATATTTTTATCTCTGACTATTTCAAAGAGCCTTAAAAGTTGTTAATAAGACAAGGGTAAGCTGCTCTTGAATTCTTGAACATGACAGTACAAGTGTTCACCTGTACCACAAGCGTCAAACAGCTCTCAAATGAATACATCATTGCTTTTCAAACAATGCTGAGAAAAGATGAATTTGGTTTTTCACTGGGAATGTTGCTTACCTTTTGGGATCTGAATTAGTTAGAATTATAATTTTTGTGACTGATTATAATTTTTTTTATCCTTTAGGTGGTATGCAGGACTGGAACTATTTACAAACAAATTGCTTTGAAGTGACTATTGAACTAGGTTGTGTGAAATACCCGTTTGAGAAGGATCTGCCAAAATTTTGGGAACAGAATCGAAGATCTCTAATCCAATTTATGAAACAGGTGAGTACTCAGGAGCAAACACAGTAAACACTTTTATTCCTTCACTTGGATTTAACGATTTTTAACATTTTGCTGTATTTAAATTTTACACACACATTTTTGCTGAACTATTTCAATGTAAATTATAGATGTTATACAGTATTTTACATCTAAGTATTTCAGAATGCATCTTCTAAAAATAAGAATATTTTTGTGTTTGCCATCCCCAAATGCCATTATCTCACATAAGATAATTAACAGTAATTCCCTAATATTATATTACCTAGTGTTATCTAAATTTCCACTTCTTGTCCCCAAAACATCTTTTTATAGCTATATTTTAGAGCCAAGATCAAGTCAAGTTTTATGTATTGCATTTGATTATTACATATTTTACTCTCATTAGAAAAGTCCTATTTCTATTTCTTTTTAAATAACATTTTTAAAGAAGCCAGGTCAATTTTCTTGCAGAATGTCCTATATTCTAAAATTGTCAGATGTGCAAAAGTTTAAACTGTGTATTTTTTAATCCTTGTGATAAGTAAACCCAAGCCTATGAAAAATTAGCCTTTCAGAAACTAACATATTTTGTTTAATAGGCATTTACATTTAGCTTTACTCTGAACTCCCAAATTCCTTTTTGGTCCCCATGTTTACATTATTAACAATCTGTTATTTTGGATATGAACTCCCAAAATAATAATGATAGTTAATGATCTTGGCATCTTTGTACTTTGTCCAGGTTCATCAGGGTGTCAAAGGATTTGTCCTAGATGCCACGGATGGCAGAGGTATATTAAATGCCACCATTAGTGTTTCTGAAATCAATCACCCAGTGACTACTTACAAAACTGGAGATTACTGGCGTCTCTTGGTTCCAGGGGCTTATAAAATCACAGCATCTGCTGAAGGGTGAGTGACTGAATACTTGGAAATTGAACACTTGGGAATAAGACAAGCATCGTTCCATTCTGGAAGGTTATTGTCAGAAAGCCCTAAAGAGTTAAGCAACCTTGAATTTAACGCTGGGAAGTTTAGAGCTGGTTACACATTTGACTCTCCTCTGTTTGCAAAGTGAGTATTCAAACTTATCAGATATAGGAATTTTGTGAAATTATGCACCTTGAACGGTGCATCAGATCACCTCCCCCTCTCAGGTCACCTTCCCTCTTCCAGGTGTAAAGCCATCATAAGTGATTTCCTTCACTGTTAGTAACTCTTCTAGGAAGTACCTGTTAGCTGGAGAAAAAGATTCCTGTTCTGCTACATACTTCAATCATTTCCAATAAATAGTCATTTTCAATAAATACTTCAATCATTTCCAATAAATACTCTTTCATAGACAAACATTTTTTATTATTGTACATTTAATGTCTTATTGCTTCACTATCATTTTCTCTCTTATTATAAATTATCTAAAAAAGGCCATTTGTATCTTTTTACAGGTTTTCTTTTCATAAAGATACATTTACTTAAAAATATAAAATGAACTTATGACTTTTATTTTTTTGGAAAAAAAATTTTTTTCTTTATTTCCCCCTCATTTACAAATAGCTTAGAACTAGAATCACCTATTTAATCTGAAACTTAAAATTTTTACCTTCTAGTCATTTTTGTTTGTTTGTTTGTTGGTACACAGCGACAAACATTTGTTACTGTCTGTGACTACTTTTGTACTATATATATATATATATATATATATATATATATATATATTCTACTATATGTATCTACTCATCTCTGTTCTTTATTTAATGTTTAAAATAAATATTAAATTTATCACAAATTTAAAAATTTGACTCTTTTAGAAGATGCACCACGTTTATCTCAAGGGTTCCCCCAGAGCTGCTGTGCTCCAGCTGCAGAAGTGGGGCTCAGCTCTGTCTCTTTCCCACAGGTACAATCCAGTTACCAAGAACGTGACCGTGAAGAGCGAAGGTGCTGTTCAGGTCAACTTCACACTTGTTCGATCTTCACCAGATGCAAACATTGAATCAAAGAAAGGAAAGGGAGATAGGACCAACACTGATGATGCCAGTGATCCAACTACCAAAGAGTTTGAAACTTTAATTAAAGACCTTTCAGCTGAGAATGGTTTGGAAAACCTCATGTTACGCTCCTCCTCAAATCTGGCCCTTTATCGATACCACTCATACAAAGATTTATCAGAGTTTTTAAGAGGACTTGTGATGAACTACCCACATATTACAAATCTTACCAAGTAAGTGTCATCTTACTGCTTTGCTTTTTCTTTCCCTTTTTTTTTTTTTTTTTTTAAGAAGTTACATTCAGCATAGGCTGTTGAATGATTCCTATAATTTATTTGGAAGCTGAATATACAGAGTTAGAGTTCACTTATTTTTTTTAAATTATATTTTATTGATTTTGTATAGAGAGGAAGGGAGAGAGATATAGAGCCAGAAACATCGATCAGCTGCCTCTCGCACACCTCCCACTGGGGATATGCCCGCAACCAAGGTACATGCCCTTGACCGGAATCGAACCCGGGTCCCTTCAGTCCCCAAGTCGACGCTCTATCCATTGAGCCAAACCGGTTTCAGCTAGAGTTCACTTATTTTGAAACATATTTGCTTGGAGAGTTTTCTAACAATGAATCTTGGAAACTTTTATGAGAACATTGGCAGAGAAACTACTGCTTAGATTAGCAATGTATGTCTTGTGCCTCCAGAAATATGACATTACTCTTTCTAATGATTACTTTGACTGATTTCAAACCCCTTTTCACTTCTTAGCTGCAGATTCATGTTCTGACTACTTATTACTTATTGTGTTTTATTTTGCTGGAGTAAGGGGCAAATTTGGAACTGTGAGCTCACCTGCAGAGATCATTCTTTTTCCAAATTAGAAAATGAAGCCTGGTTGCTGTCATTTTCTGTACTCTAGTCCAATGACTTTAAGCCAGTATACTGCAAGAATTTTTAAAACATGCAGTTCTTGACTGTTTATTCAGGGCACTGACCTCTTTTCCCTTAGATTGTCAAAGAAAAAAGTAATAGCCAACACAACAATAGCCATCCGGTGTGAATGAATCAAAATTATACCTTTTTTTTTTGTCAGATTGGCAAAAAATAAAATACATTTTGTGTGTGCTGTGGGATGGAAAAGGTTGAAAATCGCTACTCTAGTCAATCTATTCACAGTTGAACGATTGCTGTTCCCACTTAAGGACATTTGTGATTGACGGATGATCTAAAAAAAATATGCAGTACTGGCTTATGTGAAACTGATGGCTGAGACAGCATTTACCTTCCCTTTCTAGAGTTTCTCTATTTCAGTTCCACTGTTTCATTACAAATCTTCTGTAGCTCTTGTTACAGTTACTCCAAAATTATTTCCTTGATTTGTTGATTTTCATTATTTGCCTATTGAGGGCTTTTACTTGACATGTTGCCCTGTGCTTACAGTTCTCTGCTTACATGCCTAATGAATATTATCTAGCTCTTTACTTTGTTTTTCTTCATTGGTTCTTTTAATTTTACCAGCAAATTTAATTTCTCAAATACTGGTTGATATTGTCCATAGATGCAAAGAGTGATATTTACTTTTGCAATATCCATTATCTCTCTTCCTCAACTGATTTTTGAATACTGCCCAGTATTTAATATTGTGTCATCTTAGATCCATATAGGGATTACAGGCTTTATTGTTTTAAAATTAAAAAATGAGAACTTATTTTGCTCTCCATTCATTTAGTCATTTAAGTTGTGTGTTTTTTAACCTTCCAATTCAATAGAACTTTTTAGTTAAATATTTCCCCCAAAATATGCAACACCTGTCTATGGTGGGCCACGTAGGTAATCCACCAATGGTGCTAAGTACCATTGAATAGCATTTCCAGAAAGCAATAATTTTTCTCTTCTAGTAATCCTTCTCAATTTAATGTGAATATATTTCTCTATCTCACTAAATCTCCCATTATACCAAAGAACGCAGGTCTTAATATCAGAGCTCTTGGGCAAGCAGAGCATTTTAAATAATTTTTACTGTGGTACGGTATTACATTTATAGTAAAGTATCTAATTTAATTGTTTTTAAAAGATTCTCTACATTTGTATATATTTATATTTTTCTAAGTGAGTTGGTTGAAAAGAGATATGCTAATTAAATATTAGTGTAGATTGTAGAAGATAGAACAAGTATTATGAAAATTACTGGATTTGGAGGTATGCCAAACTAAATCATAACCTTTGTTACTTCTCTTTGGTAAAAAAAAAAAAAAAAAAAAGAAAGAAATAAATAAAATAAAATAAAATAAAATAAAATAAAATAAAATAAAATAAAAATAAAAAAACCCAAAATCTTTATTATTGAAAGAATTACACATATTCCCTTTTTTCCATCATTGACCCCATCTAGCCCACTCTAGGCCTTCACCACTCTATTGTCTGTGTCCATGGGTTATGAATATATGCATATAAGTTCTTTAGTTGATCTCTGCCCACCCACCAGCCCCCTCCTTCCTTCTGAGACTCAACAGTCTGTCCTATGCTTCTATGTCTCTGGATCTATTTTGTTCATTACATTCCACATATGAGTGAGATCATGTGATATTTGTCTTTCTCTAACTGGCTTAGCCTCTGAGAAAGCATGGAGGGTCCTAGGGAGTATTATGCTAAGTGAAATAAAACTAATTTTTTTCAAGTCTTCTGGCACAATGACTTATTTTTTTAAAAACTTGTTTTGTTTTCATTTTTTGTTTTAAAAATTTTTATGTTAGCATTAATATTATATAATGCTTGATTACTTGATGAATTTTTGTTTCTTGGTTTTTGAAAGTTTGGGACAGAGTGCTGAATATCGTCAGATTTGGTCTCTTGAAATATCCAATAAGCCCAATGTATCTGAGCCTGAAGAACCAAAGATTCGTTTTGTTGCTGGTATCCATGGAAATGCTCCAGTTGGAACTGAATTGCTTTTGGCTCTGGCAGAATTTCTCTGTCTAAACTATAAAAGGAACCCTGCTGTTACCCAAGTAAGAGAATAGCCTGTTTTGATGTTTTAAAAGGGAAAAGCTCGGTGGTAAACATTGATATCGAGGCATCATTTTGAAATTTTAATTTAATTTCTTGTTATATTTTACACAGAGGCACTTTTAGTGCATTATAAACTTTACTCTTTAAAAATGGACCATCTTTGTATATACTCATTGTTAATATTTCTTTCTATTATATTTCTTTGGCTAATTAAGAGCCATAGATTTTCACTCAATTCTCTACTCCTTAATTTAATAGTCTAGTTATTGTTTCAATCTTTACTTACAATTTTGTATATTCTAACTTGAGGGATTTTCATCCCTAGTTACTTATAACTAGGAAACCACAGTGAAAAGTGAGGTAAAAGACAATAGTTTTCCTTTTTCTTTTTATGTAATAAATGCAAAAATTTTTTAAAATATATTTTATCGATTTTTTTACAGAGAGGAAGGGAGAGATAGAGAAACATCGATCAACTGCCTCCTGCACAGCCCCTGCTGGGGATGTGCCCACAACCAAGTTACATGCCCTTGACCGGAATCGAACCTGGGACCTTTCAGTTCACAGGCTGATGCTCTATCCACTGAGCCAAATCGGTTTCAGCAATAAATGCAAAATTATTGGACATTTTGGGGGACTAAAGATTTCAATATGGCATTATCTACTTTAACCATCTATGACTACAAAAAAGAACTTTGATTCATAGGCTTAGTAGAGTTGCTACCTACTGACCTTATGATGATAAGAGACTATATATAGACCTAGGTAAAACACCTACTAGGAATTTCAAAACTCCTGGTTTATGAGAATTTTCCTCACTGGTCTTATTGGACTTGAACTCTTAGATCCCTTTAGATTGTCATTTGTCTTGAGCTATAGATCAGAATTATCTGGCAAGTTTAAGAAAATATACACGTAGTCAGAGACCTGTGGTGAAGCTAAAGCGTATGTACTTTAGAAAAATATCTCCCCAGAGGAGAGATTTAAGAACCAATTAATTAAAGGGTCTCATATATTTTTAACCTATAGACTATTTTAACAGAATAAATAAATCAAGGATTAACTATTAGAAATATATGGGATCAAGTATATCAGAAATTATAATAGTTCATGCCATAGATGTAGCTATCGATGCCTGTAAATTATCTGGAGAATTATTGTGGGTAAGACAAATAACTACTACTTTTTTTTTTTTTTACATACTGATTTCAACTCTTTTTGTCTCATTGTTTCCAGACATACATTACCATTTGTCATATTATAGATATCAGTTTTTCATCTGGAAAATACAGCCTTACTATTATTATTGATTTAAGCCAGCAGTTATCAGACTTTTTCTATAAAGGGCCAATTGGTATAAATTTCAGGCTTTGTGGGACAAATGCTCTGTTACAGTTACTCAGCTTGACAATTGAAGCACAAATAGAGCTATGACGTGGGCATGACTATGTAGCAATAAAACTTTATTTATAATAGCAAATAACATGCTGGATTTAACCTGCAGACAGTGATCTCTGATTCTTGTTGTAAATCATCAGTTCTGTGATAGTTTTTTGTTGTTTTTAATGTTGTTGAAGCAAGAGATAATTTTTATTTTTTAGTTCTGCCATTTAAGTCTGTGTTTAAATCAAACAATAAAGATTTTCTATTTGAGTCATGGTAGGTAGGTACCTTTTGATTCCACATATAACTAATAAATTCATTGACTTCTGTTTCTATTTTAGTTGGTTGACAGGACTAGAATTGTGATTGTCCCTTCTCTAAATCCAGATGGGCGAGAGAGAGCACAAGAAAAAGACTGTACTTCAAAGACAGGACAAGCAAATGCCCGTGGCAGAGATCTGGATACAGACTTTACAAGTAAGACTGATTTTCAGACTGTTAAAGTGCTTTGCAGATAATTCTTTTTGTTTTGCTGGTGGATCAGTTGATCCTATTTTGCATATGAGCATTGGGGTACTTTTTTCTAGATAGTAGATATAAGGTATAAATACATCTACAAATCTTTTCCAATTTTTCTCCTTTTTATTTTGTAAAAGTAATTCAAATTTTTTCTTAGAAATTCAATTAATAATATTAGGGGGGTTTCATCACTAGTCATACAGAGATGTTAATTCTCTCTCTCTGCCCTCCCACATTCGTGTGTGCACAGATACACACACACACACACACACACATGCGCATGAAGTGTGTATGTTGGTTTTGGAGGGGCCTGTTTCTTATTTAGGTAGGGTCATCTTTTATACATATTGTTTTGCAATAGTTTTTATTCGATATATCATTGGCATATTTCCATTTCAGTATTTAGATCTTTAACATTCTTACTAATGGCATCTTAGTATGGTACTGATATGTGGCAATACTCTGTTCCATTCAATCAAACATTAAGCATTTAGTTTTGTTATAATTCTTTGTATAAACAATGCTGCAAAAACACTCTGCTTTCTGAATATCTTATTTTCCTTCAAAGATTAGTATGTATTATTTATTCATTTATTTATTTACTTTTAATCCTCACCCAAGGATATGCTTTTATTGATTTTAGAAAGAGAGGAAAGAAGAGAAAAAGAGAGAGAGAGAGCGTGTGTTGATGTTAGAGAGAAACATAGATTGATTGTCTCCTGTATGCGCCCCAACCAGGAATCAAACCCACAAGCTTTTGGTGCACAGGACAACGCTCCAACCCAACTGAGCCACCTGGCAGGGACTTCCTAAATTATTTTTTAAAGAAGGATATATTCTTCCCTTTTTGTTTTCAGTACGAATTTTCTTAAACTCGCTTAGAGTCATTAATCTTTACACAGTTATCTTGCAGTATGTAAACTCAAAATAACCTACCTTTTAAATGTATCTTCCTCGCTTGAAATAGTGGCTTATGAGGTAATACAGTGTTTACCACAGATTTCATGTTAGCCTTCTGATTGTGTTCAAGTACAGAACATTTTCTTAACTACTCATAATATATTTTTAAAACTTATTGAATATTTTACCTTTTACTGTTTTAGATAATGCTTCCCAGCCTGAGACTAAAGCCATCATTGAAAATTTGATTCAAAAACAGGACTTCAGTCTTTCTGTAGCCTTAGATGGTGGTTCAGTTCTGGTCTCATATCCATATGATAAGCCAGTACAAACAGGTATGTAGAATGTCACTTTACATATATACTGTTTGAACTTTGGTAGGAAATTCTAATTAAGTAACGTCCCTTCTAACTTTTTTTAAAATGGTGAGCATTTGAGCATACTCCCTGAGCAAATAACCAGCCTGATATGATTGTGTATATATCAACAGTTCAAATAATTCCTTGTAAGAGAGAGGTCAGATCTGATGATGGCCTAGTTTTGTTGAGTGTAGCCATCTTGTCACATCTGTTCAGTTTAGTCCACGAGCATTTATTGGGCAATTATTATGTCTGTAACATTGAGAATATGAAAGTGAATAGGACACAATGCCTGCCTCAAGAAACTCATATTTAACCAAATATTAACAATACAGAATTGCCCTTCCCTGTTTTAAATCTAGATTGACTACTTGTACCTTATGGTGTGTTAAACAATGGCTTCTTTGGGGCCATTGTATATGGAGGTAGTTTGTTTCATTTTCAATGCAGCTTACAAGGAAATAGTATTATTAGGCCACAGTTGCCCGAAAATGTGTAAAACATACCAAACATGCCATTATTTTGGTAGTATAGCCTGTTTGCTAACCTAACCATTAATACCTTTGAATGTAAGGAAGATGTCTGCCTTTTCAGTTAGATTATTCTGGGTTAAATAGAACGACATGATTAATTCTAATAACTCCTCAATAAACGTCAGTGGCGTGCAAGGAAGAGAGAAAGATGACTTGTATTCATGACGTTGAACCTGGAGAGAACCCTTTTGGATTTCTCCTCTGATTTCTGAATTTTTTTCTTTGTAGTGGAAAACAAAGAGACTCTGAAGCATTTGGCATCACTTTATGCAAATAATCATCCATCAATGCACTTGGGTCAGCCCAGTTGCCCAAATAAGTCAGGTAGGTATTTTCGCTACCCCTTGTTATTGTTGCTGCTTTGGGCAAGGGAAGGAGTCTTGCCGTATGGTTTTGCTGATCCTACATCTCTTAATGCTTTTATAGATGAGAATATTCCAGGAGGAATAATGCGTGGAGCAGAATGGCACAGCCACCTGGGCAGCATGAAGGTATGCTTTCTAGAATATAGTGAGAATGGAATTATAAATATTATCCAGTGACTGTTCTGATATAAGCAAAATGAATGACATCTGCTTCATGGGTTTCTTGACATGATAACTTTCAATTTAATCTGTAACAGCACTTGTGGGTTGTTGTTTTTTTGCCATTTTTTATAATTTTTAATTATACAATTTAGTGACATTAATTATATTTACAACGTTGTGCAACCATCACCAATCCAAACCATTTATTTCCACAACTTTTTTATTACCCCAGACAGAAGCTCCACACCCACTAAACAATAGCTCCTTGTTCCACTCAGCCCTTGTTAACCTCTAATCTACTTTCTATCTCTGTGTGTGCCTAGTCTAGATATTTTATGTAAGTGCAATATTTGTGTACAAGTGCAAATGATGCAATATTTGTCCTTTTGTGTCTAGCTTTTTTCACTTAACAATGTTTATTTTATAGTATGCATCAGTACTCCATTCTTTTTTATAGCTGATAATGTTCTACTTATGTACATACCACAATTTATTTATCAGTTCCTCTATTGATGAATACTTGAGTTGTTCCACCTTTTGGCTCTTGAGAATAATGTATAAAGGGCATTTGTGTACAAGTATCTGTTTGAACCCGTGTTTTTAATTCTTTTGGGTATATACCTGGAAGTGGAATTAGTGGTCAGATTCTAATTCTAAGTTTAACTTTTTGAAGAACTACCAAACTTTTTCATATTAAACTGTTTTACATTCCTACCTGCAATGTAGAAAGGTTCCAATTTATTCACAATAACTTGTGAATAAATTCTTGCCAATACTTTTTATTTTCCATTTTTTAAATTATAGCCATTCTATTAAGTGTTAAGTAGTACCTCATTATAATTTTGATTTGCTTTTATAAGATGACTTATGATGTTGAGCATCTTTTCATGTGCTTATTAGCCATGTTCATATCTTCTTTGGAGAATTTATTCAAGTCAATTGCCCATTTTAAAATTGGATTGTCTTTTTGTTGTTGAATTATAAAAATTCTTTACATACTTAGGATATTAAACCCTTATCAGGTGTTTGATTTATTAATAGTTTGTCCCATTTGTAGGTTGTTGTTTTACTTTCTTGATAATGTCCTTTGATGCACAAAAGTTTTTAATTTTGATTGTCACATTTAACTATTTTTGTTGTTGCTTATATACTTTTGTTGTTATATCTAAGAATTCATTGCATGAACATTTACCCCTGTGCTTTCTTCTAATGAGTTTTATGGATTAAGCTTTTATATTTGAGTTGAGCTGGTGGTGCTTTTTAGTATGTGTGTTTTTTTTGTTTTTTTTTTTTAATATATTTTATTGACTTTACACAGAGAGGAATTGAGAGGGACAGAGAGTTAGAAACGTCGATGAGAGAGAAACATCGACCAGCTGCCTCTTGCACACCCCCTACTGGGGATGTGCCCGCAACCAAGGTACATGCCTTTGACCGGAATCGAACCCGGGACCTTTCAGTCCGCAGGCCGACACTCTAGCCACTGAGCCACACCGGTCCCGGCTAGTATGTGTGTGTTTTGTTGTTAATCCTCACTCAAGGATATTTTTTCCATTGCTTTTCAGAGAGAGTGGAAAGGAGGGAGGGAGAGGGAGAGAGAGAAAGGAGAGAGAGAAACGTTGATATGAGAGAGAGACATCGATTGGTCACCTCCTGCACATGTCCCAACGGGGACCAGAATCAAACCTGCAACCCAGGTACAGGTCCTTGACCAGGAATCAGACCCCGACCCTTTGGTTCGAGGGCCAACGTTCTAATTGCTGAGGCACACCAGCCAGGGGGAGTTGATATGAAGTAAGAGTTCAATTTCATTTATTTGTATGTGGAAATCTAGTTGTTTGGGCACCATTTGTTGTAAATTCTATTCTTTCCCCATTGAATGGTCTTGGCACTCTTGTCAAAAATCAATTGACCATAGTTATATGGGCTTATTTCTGGACACTCACATCTATTTCATTGGTCTATATGTCTCTTCTTATGCCAGTATCTCTGTTTTGATTATTGTAGCTTTATAGTAAGTTTTGAAATTAGGACGTGTGAGCACTCCAACTTTATTATTTTCCAAGATTTTTTTAGCTATTGAAAGCTGTTTATAATTCTATTTGAATTTGAATATTGTCTTTTTCTGCACATAAAGGCTGTTGGAATTTTGTTAGAGATTGTGTTGAATTTGTAGATCACTTTGGGTGACATCTCAACAGTATTGTCTTCTTATTCATGAGCACAGTATGTCTTCTCATTTACTTGGGTGTTCTTCAATTTCTTTCTGACAGAATTTTAATTGGTTGTCCATCCACTTCAAATTAGTCAGGAGTTGTTAGCTCAGTCATTATTTTCACACATGCAACCAGAAAGTTTACTTCATAAATATGTTACAGAATTCATAACTACTAGTATGTTACAAATAGCTATGTTACAGAATTAATCAATTTGATCTAGAAGAGAGCAACACTCAATGTGCCATGAGAAGTTAAAGACAGAAAAGGTTACACCTAGTCAGAGATGTAGCGTTCTCTTCATAGAGGACACGGCATTGGGTGCAGAGATGGTCATTCAGCAGGACATTTCAGAAAGAGGAAGCAGTATGAGCAGAGGTCAATAGCAATCTAGTTTAGTTAGAATGTGGGGTACCAAGGAAAGCAGTGGAGGCAAGGATGGAAAGAGAGTTTGGGGATTTGAATGCTTTGTTTTTGTAAGGAATGGGAAGCCACTGAAAGTTTTAAGCAGATATATAATGACATGATCTAAACTGTTCTATGGAAAAAGTAATCTCTTAGCAGTAGGTAGTTTGGAAGAAGAGAGATTATGGTACATGGAGACTGGTTTAGAATAGCTTAGACAAATAAGAATAAAAGCCTAGATTGGGGCAGTGGCAGTGTAGCAGGAGTCACAGGATTAAGTTTCAAAGATATTGGGGTAGAAGTGACAGGATTTAGCAAATTATGGATGATAGCAAGACATTGAAGTCAGAGCCAAGATTTCATGTCTGTGAGAAAATGAGTTAATACTATTAACTGGATTACCAAAAGGAACAGGTTTGGGGGAAAGGTGGTAAGTGGGTTTTGGAGCCTGTTCACACAAGCAGAATAATTGCTTTATTGTAAGCAGTGGCTTGAGGCTGCAGGTTGAAAGTATCGGAGGACAAGTATTAGTGCTTCTACCTCCAGAGTCCAAGAACAGCAGTGAAATTCTAGGGTTTAGAGGGAAGCTAGCCTATTGCACGTACTTATTCCTTCATTATTCAACAAACCCTGATGCACCTCTTTCCAGACACTAAGTAGCACTAGAGACACAAAAGTGAATTAGACATAGTCCCTGGTCTCAATGGCCCTCTTAGCAGCAGCCATGTTTGTGACTGATTAGGATACTGAGTGATTTATTTATATTTGCTATAAAATACTTTACAGATTCTTTGTTTACATCACGTGGGTTTTCTTTTTATTCCATTTGTTGCATTACAAAGCTTCACTCTTACTTTTACTTATTAATTTTCTTACATTTACTTTTGAATTTTATATTCCAGGATTATAGTGTCACCTATGGCCACTGCCCGGAAATCACGGTGTACACAAGCTGCTGCTACTTTCCTAGCGCAGCACAGCTCCCTTCCTTGTGGGCAGAAAATAAAAAATCTCTTCTTAGCATGTTGGTGGAGGTGAGTCTTCCCTTTTTAACTAGAAGCAAACTCCCAGGGATATGTTCAATGAAAAGCTTTATCAAAACATTTTCTTAATCCTTTATCAGAGTTTATATTATTTATTTTAAATGTAGATAGAAAGGAAACTGTTCGATTTCTATTGCCTGAATAGGTGTCAAGAGTTCACATATTTGGAATCTGCTGTGATTTAAGTGATTTAACCCTGTGAGATGTTGCAGTTTCTTTCATTTGAATATCACACAGAGACAGTGTACTATGGCGGAAAGTAAATAATCGAAGTCATCAGAAGATTTGGATTCTAACACTTTCAGCTTTGACTCTACTAAAGTTCTCTTTTCCTTTATCTCTCTGCCTCTGCCTCTGCAGCAGTGAATGAGTAGCAACAAGGTCAGAGTCAGTGGGAAGGACAAATAAACAGTCTGATGGGGGTTTGCTGTTTTTGTCATGCCTCAAACTCTTGCCTCTAGACCATCTGGCATTGTGAAAACATAAATTTATATTTTAAATATTTTTCAGGTTCACAAGGGAGTTCATGGGTTTGTTAAAGATAAGACTGGAAAACCAGTCTCCAATGCAGTCATTGTACTCAATGAAGGAATAAAGGTACACACCAAAGAGGGTGGCTACTTCCATGTCCTGTTGGCGCCTGGTGTCCATAACATCAATGCCATCGCAGATGGGTATCAGCAACAGCATTCACAGGTAAGAGACTCAGACTGAGTAGTATCATGTAAGTTCTTATTCTTAATAGTACTTCTGTTTTATTCTGAAACTCTTATGAGAAAGCAGGAGAGGAATAAAGAAATAAAAATGTGACCAATTCTTGATTCTGATATCTTGCTCTCTATCTTTTAGCAACAAAAGGGAAATTCTTATAGCATTTGTATACTTTAGATGACAATGAATCATTGCTTTCTCATAAGAGTTTGCTATAATGTCCCTAGGGATACAATACATCTAAGTGAACTTTTTCCTAATTCTTGTACTTTATCTTCCCAGGTCTTTGTGCATCATGATGCAGCTAGTTCTGTGGTCATAGTCTTCGACACAGATAACCGGATATTTGGTTTGCCAAGGGAGCTTGTGGTGACTGTAGCAGGTAAACAAATGTAAATTTTTGGCAGTTGAAGTTAACACTAGTCCTGACATTTTGCGACTTGATCACCTCTATAATCACCTGAAGCTAACCACTTTTCTTTAATGTCTCCTTTTCTAACATGAATTTTCTGGAACACGGTTCTCTTGCATTTTTTCATGGCTTGCTTCCTCACATTTTTTTAAAAATAAATCTTTATTATTCATATTATTACAAATGTTCCTCTCCCCCCCCTTCGTTGCTCTCCTCCACCAGGTTCCCACCCCACCCTTTGCCCTTTCCCCACCCCCCATTGTCCTCATCCATAGATGCACAGTTTATGTTCAGTCTCTTCCCACATCCCCCTCTCCCCTTTTCCCCAAGAATCGTCAGTTCACTCCCTTTCCATACCTCTGACTCTATTATATTCAACAGTTAATATTGTTCATCAGATTTTTTTTTAATTTCCTTGGTTTTTAGATTCACTTGTTGATAGTTACGTATTTGTTGTTCATAATTTTTATCTTTATTTACTTTCTCTTCCAAAAGAACCCCCTTCAGCAATTCATATAATTCTGGTTTGGTGGTGGTGAACTCCTTTAGCTTTTTTTTATTAGTGAAGCTCTTTATCTGGCCTTCGATTCTGAGTGATAGCTTTGCTGGATAGATTATTTTTGGCTGTAGGCTCTTACTATTCATCACCTTGAATATTTCTTGCCATTCCTGTCTGGCCTGTATGGTTTCTGTTGAGAAATCAGCTGACAATTGTATAGGTGCCCCTTTATAGGTAACTACCTGCTTTGCTCTTGCTGCTTTTAATATTCTCTCTTTGTCTTTTGCTCTTGGAATTTTAATTATGATTTGTCTTGGTGTGGTCTTCTTTGGATTCCTTTTGTTTGGAGTTCTGTGCACTTCCTGGACTTGTAAGTCTAATTCTTTCACCAGGTGGGGGAAGTTTTCTGTCACTATTTCTTTCAGTATGTTTTTGATATCTTGCTCTGTCTCATCTTCTGGGACCCCCATAATTCTGATGTTGGTTCACTTGAAGTTGTCCCAGAGGTTTCTTACATTATCTTCAACTTTCTGGATTCTCTTGCCTTCTTGCTTCTGCAGAGGAGTGTCTTCTGGCTCTTTATGTTCCAAATATTTGACTTGATTCTTGCAATCTTCCATTCTATTTTTAAGGCTCTGTATAATATTTTTTATTTCAGACAGTGTATTCTTTATTTCTTGTTGATCCCTTATTATTTCTTGTTGATCCCTTATTATTTCTTGTTGGTTCCTTATTAATTCTAGTTGATTCCTTTTCATATCCTCATAGGTCTTATCGACCTTTTCTAGGAAATTCTTGAAAAACCTTATAAGCGTAGATTTGAACTCTATATCCAGTCACTTTTTGTCTTCCCTTTCTTTCGTTTGTGATCTTTTTCCTTGTCTCTGCATTTTTGCAGCTTCCCTGAGTTGGTAGCCTTAAAAGTCTCTGTGTTCTTCTTGGATGTAATTTCAGGGTGGAGCCTACAGCCTTGGCTTTCCTCAGCCCCACCCTATGCGGCTCCTGAGTCTTGGTGTTTCTCAGGGTCCTTCAGTACTCAGCTGCAAGCACTTCTGAGAGAAAGGTGTCCTCGATTTTTGCCTGCTACCAAACAGTCTAGTCTCTCCCCCAATGAGCCCAGAACTGGGGTTCAGTTCACTTGGAAGTGGAGTTGGAGGTGGCATTCAGAGCAGTCTGGAGCTTTTGTCTCCTTCCCGCCAGGGGAATCCCATGGCACAGCCAACCGTCCCTTCTCTGCGTGCAATATGCGCACCTCCAGGGGCTCTGCCTTTCGCCGCTCCCCCAGGGTTCCGCCTTACAGCCCAGTCTCCCTCTGTTTGAGCCTGGGTCCCCAGGGTCTGGCCTAGAACTGGGTTTCAGAGCAGTCGGAACTGAGGCTCAGCACAGTCCAGAGCTTTTATCTCCCTCTCGCTAGGGCAATCTAGCAGCAGTGTCAAGAGTCCATCCTCTGCATGCAATGTGCATGCCTCCAGGGGTTCTGCCTTTCGCCGCTCCCCTGGGATTCTGCCTCACAGCCCAGGCTCCTCTGTTTGAGCCTGGGTCCCCGGGGTCTGGCCTAGAACTGGGGTTCAGAGCATTCAGAACTGGGGTTCAGCACAGTCCAGAGCTTTTATCTCCTTCCCGTTAGGGAACACCAGCCAGGCACTCAGCCGCCCTCCTCTCTGGCTCTGTCCTCTCTGCGCACGCAGCGTGTCTCCGTACCTTAGGCTTTTACAGCTCCTCTGATTTCCCTTCTGGTTTTCTCTTTCCTTCTCGTTGTAGAATTTCCGGTCAGTTGACTTTCCTGTAGTTCTGGGTAATGTCCGTTTTATATTTTAGTTGTATTTTATTGAAATTGTTGTGTGTGGCTGCGGTTAGGTGTTTACCTGTGCAGCCATCTTGGATTCTCCGCTTCCTCACATTTTCAGGTCTATACTCAAATGTCATCTCCACAGAGCCCTTCCCTGTTCACCCTAGCTAAAATAGTACCCCTGCCACCCACATGCTTCTATTATAGAATTTGGCACTATCTGACATTATATTATACTAGAGGCCCGGTGCACAGATTCATGCACCAGTGGGTATCCTCAGCTTGGCCTGCATCCTCTCGCAATCTGGGACCCCTCGGGATATCGGTTAACCAGTTTTGGCCTGATCCCCGCAGGCCTGATCCAGACAGAAGGGAGCCCAATACCTGCAGTCCTGATCCCAATAGGCCTCATTCAGACAGAAGAGAGCCAAATACCTACAATCCTGATCCCAACAGGCCTCATCCAGACAGGAAGGAGCCGATTCCCGCAGGCCCAATCCCCACAGGCCCAATCCGGACAGGAGGGAGCTCAGTCCTGTGCATTGAGTGTCTGTCCCCTGGTGGTCAGTGTGCATCATAGTGACCAGTTGACCGGTCATTCTGTTGCTTAATCTTTTATATTATATATAGTTAGTCATTTATTTGTCTATAGTCAATCTCTCCAAGGGTCTTAATGAAGAGTTGACTCAATGAAAGATTTGCTTTATATTAAGATCATAAGCCCCTTGAACTATGATTTACATTATTTATGTTTTTCCATGATCTTGGAAGGAGTAAATATTTGTTTTCTCCAGGATTAATGTGTGCTATTGCTTAAATTACTGAAAGGTTAGAAAGAAAACAGTATGTGGTAAAAGATATGCTGGTATATCTTTTGACACAAAGAGCCTTGGTTCATTTTTAAGTGCAACTTGAATTTAATGCAAAATAACCAAGTTTTTTTTTTTTTAAACATATTTTTATTGATTTCAGAGAGGAAGGGAGTGGGAAAGAGAGATAGAAACATCAATGATGAGAGAGAATCATTGATCGGCTGCCTTCTGCATGCCCCCTACCGGGGATCGAGCCCACGACCTAGGCATGTGACCTTGACTGGAATTGAACCGGGACCCTTCAGTGCACAGGTCCATGCTCTATCCACTGAGCCAAACCAGCTAGTGCTAACCAAGTTTTATTATTACAGGATGTATGGGGAAAAGAACCCTAGTTGAAAAAGAGTGGTGTATTGGAAACATGGTGTATTGGAAACATGGCCTGTTGTGGAGTGCTTAAAGTAGAGACATGTCAGCTTGAACCAGATAAAGTATGGATCACTTAGTAATTAGAAACACAGGAGTGAGGATTCAGCCACAATCTGGCTCTTCCACCCATTTGCTGTTATGAACTTAATTTAAATTATATTATTTTATTAGCCACCCACCACTGCACCTGACCACTTCCCTGTTGGCTAGTGCATTCCAGTGGTGAGCTAAAACTAAACTCCAGCTTAGGAAACAGGGTTATTCTTCATGTGGATGACTCTGTGCCAAAAGCATGGGAACGAGGGGGGAAAAATTATGATTTTATTATTATTTCCTGTCATTAAGACTCTTATTCTGATAACCTTAAATCTTTTAAATAAATAGAGGGGTTTCAATGAGATGAAAATTTACTGGAGAGGAAAAGAAGCCTTTGATAAGTGCAGAATAGTGGACAGTTTGATTTCATTGTGGTGATACACATACACATGCATGAAGAAAAATCTGGAAAAATTCCACTACAGTTGTTAAAATGATCTTGAGATAATGGAAATGTGGAGATATGGAGTTTGGGGTTTGGATTTTTAGTATTTTTGCTATCTATGTTTTTCTCATTTTGTATACTATAGATAAACTACTTCTGTAATATTAAAAGGTTGTTTTTAAGTACATGAAATAAAAATAAAATATATGAATGGAATATTATTAAAAGTATTGTCTTAAGTAGCTATCTATATATATATGAAAAGCCAGCAACCACAACGCCTTAACGACCAGTCTCTATAAATCAGCCCGATCAGAGAATGGGGCCAGCAGGCCAACCTCCTGAGGCCCCTCCCCTCGGCTGGCCCGCCCCTGATTGGATTCTCCCACCCAGATTAAGGGTGAGGCCAGCCAGTCAAATGCCACCCCATCCCTCCCACCTGGCCGGCCCCACCTCTGGTCTCCACCCCTAAGGGTTTCCCATGGCCATGATCGGCCTTCAGCCCCACTCCCCGCTCAGCTCCTCCTCTCACTCAGCCCCTCCCTCACACAGACCCTCCCCATGGCCGGCCCTACCCCCAGTCGGCCTCCCAACCCCAGTAAGGGACAGGGTCCGCCAACAAGCTGTCCCAGCCCCAATCGCCCCATGAGGCTGGGTAGCTAGCCAGCCTCCCGCCATCTCCTCCTCCCAACAGGCCCAGCCCCAATCTGCCCTGATTGGGGCCAGGTTGGCCAGACCCCACCTGTGCACAAATTCATGCCCTGAGCCTCTAGTTTATTTATATCTTTAAAGAACACCATTCACCTGGTGCTTTGTTTGACAGGTGCCACCATGTCGGCATTGATCCTAACAGCTTGCATTATTTGGTGCATCTGCTCAATCAAGTCTAACAGACACAAGGATGGCTTCCATCGGCTCAGGCAGCATCACGACGAATATGAAGATGAAATTCGCTTGATGTCAACCGGCTCCAAGAAGTCCCTCTTAAGCCATGAGTTCCAGGATGAAACGGACACTGAAGAGGAAACATTATATTCTAGTAAACATTGAAACACACACCTTGCATATCTCCCAGACTAAGAACCAAGCAAAATCACAGTTCCTTTTGGGAGACACTGCATTGAGAAGAGAGACTATCTTGCTTCTTCAAAGAGCTTTGGGAAGTTAACTTGCTAAATTTGTATTCTCTGTGAATTTGGCTGGCAGTTTTGAACTTCCTTAAAGTACTCCTACCTTTTCTTTTTAAAAAAAAAAAAAAAAAATCTGCTTTCTATTTATGCAGCAGACATGGAACAGCCACTTTATTTTTCTTTTTAATTTAAGATGAGCTGTTTGGAGCTTATGTTATAACTGCATAAAGCCAACTAGTGGATGTTGTATTTTGCACATCAGGTGTTTCCTGGTGGCTTTAGCTTTTTTTCTTTACTTTTTAAATGGCCAAAAGAATCCAGGAATATTAAGGCAGGGACAGCAGTCAGAATCTGACATAAAGCTTTAAAACTCAAGGTTTTCTCAACCTACTGAGGAGTACTTTTCTCTAGTTACTAAATAGCTGGAATTACTCTTATTCAGGTTTGGTGGAGGCTGAGTTGATTTTTAAACATGTAACATTAGTAAAGGCATAAATGGACTTCTGCATTTGCTTTCTACCTGTTCCAAGACTAGATCAGAATTAGTGGCCTGTGCTCTTGGCAGGATTTCACTACCTCTCATGTAAGGTTTAGCAAACTTTTAAAGACACCCATTTTAAGGGAGAACTTGCTGACTTTGTTGTAAAAGATCTAAATGTCCATTTGAATGGAGCTAAGAGGGAGATCTATCAAAAGCTGAAACTCATGTTGCCTATCTTCTAACTTGGTAAAAACCCATAGGTGCTGCTGCTTTTATCTGTGAAATACTAGTTCTAGGAATGCCTACTTTGTTAAGATTCCCTAAATTTGAACCTTTTTCTATGTTGTACATTTACGGTTTTCAGATTACCCAGCAATCTACAAGATCTGAATTCTACAGAAAATGTCTGGAAGTGTGGAAGAAACCTACTGGGCACATTCTTAACCTACATTTGAATACAAAATATCTACACTTGCTCCAGCCCAAACCTACGCCCTGTAATTCCGTTATTGAAATAGCGTGGCCAGTCTCATTCATCTAGATCCCTGCAAGTGATTGGGTTCTTTGTCCGAATGCTTCATTTGACAGTCTTTTTTTATTAACCAATTTTGTTTAAAAGTTCATTTGAAAGCATTTAAAAATGGATCTCTCCATTAAAATAAAACAAAGCTATGACCTGCTGTGTGATGTAACACTGTGGTGAAAAAGTATCATCTTCACTGCAGTTGGGTTATTGCAAAGACCTGAAAGATTTGCATTTTATTGTGTCTATAATATGCTATTCAGTAGAAATAATGCTCTTATTTTTAAGTGTGCATCTTACCAATGATCTAATGGTTTGAATGTTTTAATGGCCATGTTGCTGCTGAATTTGTACCAAATCAGGGGATCAAAAAACTTGCTCTCGTCTTTTTAAATTGTGTTCTGTATCCATTAATGTATCGGTCATCTCAGAACCCTCGTGTGGAGTGGTTTATCACCCCCTAAGTTATTCAACAATGTTTTGTGAGAAATGCACCCAAAATGGCTTTATAAAAAAAACAAAGTTTGGTTCAGCAGGAATAATGAAGTCATGACACTTATTAATGAGTATCTATGATAAATTTGGGTTGTTCCAGGTTAAGCCATTCTGGTATTAATCGTATTATTAACAACTTTAAATTGTGAGCCCTTGCCACCACATATGTAGAACAGTGTTTGTGGGATGTTAATATTTAATGAAATGTATATGATTTAATTTCTTCTCATAATAACTTTACATTCTCCTTAAGAGGATGATGTGGTGGTATTGCTCTTTTCAGCTTGATTTTTAAGAATTTTTAAAGCCCAGAATGCCAACAAATGGCCTATGAGTGGCCAGCTCTGCTTGAGACATTTCAGGAAGAAATTAAAGTCATTGTGATAGCCTTGACTTAATTAGGTCTACTTTCAAGGATACCTTTTAAATTCATTTCTCTCCTGAATTAAACATGTCTTTAACTGTACATTACAGAGGCTAAAGTCCATGCCTTTTGAATGTGTAAATTTTTTTTTAGAAATAAACATACAAGTATTTATTTTCATATTTTTTCCTGAAAAGAAAGCTAAGTTCTGCTATGAATCTTTAATCTTGGAATGAATTTCTAAATAATGAATTGTTCTGGAAAGCAAGGCCTTTCAGCCTCTATGACCTATTAACATGAATGTACAGGATCATGACTACTGAAACTGTTCTCTGCTCTGTTTTGTCTTTTATTTGTGGATCTGATCTGATATTAGACCACATTAATTGCATAAGGCATTGAAGCCATATGGGATAGGCAATGCACTTTTCAGTGTTTCTCCTAGACTTCCTGTTTCTGTGGAGTCATGGAGGCAAGTAAGTATTATGATATTTGGCCGAGTCTGAGCTGTGCCTTTCTTTATTCACAAGGCTTTTCCCCCCTGATGATCAGTTTGTAAACCTTCTTCCCTCCCAACTCCTTAATAAAAACAAAGTGATTGAGTAGGTAATGTTCAAAGTGTCTGCCTGTATAAATGTATTGGTTATGCAGTTCATTAAGATGAACTTAAGTTAATTTCAGGAGGAAAGACCTTTGGTTTTGATGTGTTTTGGTGAACATCTGAATAGAAATTGGAATCCCATCCAGTTGAGGAATGCTTGCAGTTCTCAACGGAGGGAATTTGCTTTGTGACTTTGTCATCCTCCAGAAAGAAAACCTAGTGTATAGTTGGTCCAGTGTGATTGACTGGTTTACCTTTGGTAACTCACCTGAATGGGATTTGCAGAATTAATGACTATTGACCTTAAAACTAATTATGAGTTGACAAATAAATAAAAGGTAGTGTTTTGCCTGAGCTTATTTTGTTTCTGAGCTAACACCAAGTTACTCAGTAACGGTGTCCAATTCTTTCATTTTCATTTATTCTTAGCAGTAGTATTCTTATTGTCAGAAATTCACTTGTACCAGGTTTTGTCCCTGCTATATTAAAAGCTTGGCTGTGAATGCTATACCTAGTGCCCTATGTTATGGTTCTCTGGTGAAATTGTTTTTAACAGAAGCAAATTTATTATTATTATAAAAATGTTCTGTGTTTGATATTCAATTATTTTCTGTCTAGCAACTTTTTGATAACTCTCTGGGTTTCTGATTTGTTTCAATTAAAGCAGATTCTTGGGGGGGGGGGGATGTGTGTGATTAGGTTCCTTGACTAATGTCAACTGATCTTAGATTTATAATTTATGAAGAAATAGCCCCCAACTCCCATTTCTTCTGTGTTTTAGCAATAATTAAGACTCCACTTGACTTTCAGAATATCATCCTTGTTTGATTTTGTTTTGACAGAATATATTATGACATTTGAAAGTAGGCTACCATTTTGAGGCCATTGGACATAAATTATGTAATAAGTATGATTATTTTTATAAATGACATAACGTGAATATACTAACTGCATTCTGTGCTGGCCATGCTGCAAATTTTATGGAGGTATGACATGGTATTTTTTTATGTTTAGATTAAAAAATCAGTTTTTCACCTCTCCATTTTTTTCAGTGACATTCCCCAGCTCCAGAAAAATTTATAGCTATTGATATGAGGTGCCTAACACTCATCCATCTCAAGTGCTTCATTCTTTGTTTATTTCATGCACTGTGCCTTCAAAACAAAAATTTTAAAAGGGACTTTAAACAAAGTTGAATCGTAGTTTTAAAAAGTCAATTTGTGTAATTTATGTGAAATCTAACTGTAATGGGGTCCTTTCTGTTTTTTATATGTAAACAGATCTAATCCTGTATAAAAGTTATTTTATGATGTTTGTCTTTGTGTTTTGTCTCATAATCTCTTCTCAAAAGCAATAGACCAGAAAGAGTTAATGTTTCAGTTTGAAAGTTTATACTTAGTTTTTCTACCTATACTAAGGAGAAAATAGTACCAGACCAGAAATACAGGGGAGTTACCTGTATGTCCGCCTCAACTTGACTCAGAAGAAAACCATCTTTCTGAAATAATTACATCGTATAGTAGCCACATTTCTCCTTTCTGTTTGTAGCTCAGCTCAATCATTCCACAACGAACACCAGAAAACTGGCCATTGAAAAGTTCATGTACCCATTTTAAACTTGTTAAAAGTCTGATCTTTTTTATAGATGCGCCCAGTTAAATAATTTGCCCTGGCATTTCTCTGCATAGTGGCGATGAATTCATTTTGTTGATGCTGCTGCTCTGATAAGAATTGGGAATGCCAAGTTATAGAAGAAATATGGGCCCTGCTGACAATCATAGTCCAAACCAGAAAAACAGAAAAAGAAAGAAGCTATATTTCTGAAGGGAGTGGTTCTCTAAAAAGGGAGTCTGCTCTAGAAGCAGTGCACAGCGATTTGAGCATGGACTTTGGAGCTGAGCCAATCTATGATTGATTCGTGGTTCTGCTACTTTCTCTCTTGAGACTTTGTTTTGTAAAAGTTTCTTAACCATCTCTGTCTCAGTCTCTGTACTGGTTAAGGATTGTAATGAGAACTAAGTGAAATAATGTTAGCAAAGGGCTCAACATAACATTTTACTCAGAATTGAATGACGTGGTAACCAGCATCATTTGCTGTTACTGATCCCTTTGAGAGAGTTATTTTATCAAATGGACAAGATATGTATAACAGGTAGTCTTTCTTAATTTAGAAGAAATCTCTAGACATGAATATTAAAAGGAAAAAAAACCTGACATTTTTCCATTGTGTGATTCCATAGATTATCTATAGCAAGACAGTAAAGTTTAAAAATTTGTGTCAAACGCTTTATATCCTATATAGCTAATATGGAAATCTACCAAATGGCAGAACAGTTGGTCACTATGATGTCCACTGACCACCAGGGAGCGCACACTCAATGCAGGAGCTGCCCCCTGGTGGTTAATGCGCTCCCACAAGGGGAGCACTGCTCAGCCAGAAGCCAGGCTCAAGGCTGGCAAGCACAGCAGTGGTGGTGGGAGCCTAAGCCGTCAAACAGACATTCCCAGAACGCTCCCGGACTGTGAGAGGGCACAGGCCAGGCTGAGGTTATCCTTTCTGCCCCAGTGCACTGGGCCTCTAATTTGTTTATAAATAAAATCAGATTGTATGTTTGCTTAGTTGGTGAAAGCAGTCTTAACTGCTGCAAGAAGTCTGAACAGTGATGGTGTTCCTTTGTCCCCTATTGTTTGAAACATTTTCCTGAATTTTTGTCAGGAGTTTTCTCATAACTGAATCAAGACCCTTTTGATTTAGTATGTCATGAACAGTAATCTGATTATGTTCAGTTTTCCAGATTTCTAGAAGCTGATTGTTTTCAGCCAACATGAATGCTCCATGCTAATGCCTACTCAGTTGTGAATAAACACTTTCATATAGATCTTCATCTCTTATTCTCCTGCAGTTCAAATGCCAATGATTCCATGGTATGTATTGCATACCTCAAAATCAATTACTAACCAAAATTTAAAAGCAAATCTGCATATAAAGCCCAATTTTAACTTTAATATATAACTTCCACCTTACATTAATCAGTAGAATGTTAAAAGAAAGCATGTTATTTCATTGGCATTTTGGGATCTTATTTCTTATTACTGCATAAATAAATGTAAACAGGGCAAGCAAGAATTGGAGTAGAAAGGTGTTCCAGAATAGAGGCCAGGAAGAAGTTTGAGGACAGGAGGGTGAGAACACTGCCTAGAGACCCACTGGGCACCATTTTATTTTTAAGCTGTTTGAAGGATTGGAGAGCTACTAAGGTAACAAGGACTGATGGGGGTCTCGGTGCAAAGGGAGTTCAGGAGTGAATATAACAGTAAAAGTTTCACCTGGGGGCATTTGTTGACTGTTAGGTGGTGACCGAGAGACACCAGCAGCAGAGAGGCTAGGCAGGAGGCAGAGGGCACGAGCAGAAGCTGTAGGCAGTGTCAGTGGATCGGGGGAAATACTCGCTCAGCACCTATTAAGGAAGAGGGCACTGGTCATTGGAAGTAAGGGCTCATCAGAAACAGACCAATTTGAACAAAGATACTTGGTCCCACTCCTTACTAGAGTAAGCTGATAGGACCCTACCTTCTGCAAGAAGTTGCAGTCAACTAACTGTCTCTGGAGGCTGATGTCCTCTGAAGCCTCACATGATGGTACACATGCTAACCTACAATATGCAGCATCCAATCAAAAGTTAACTTTTGTTATCAAAAGACAACATCAAATAATGAAAGGTCAAGAAAAAAAAAAAAAAAAGGAATAGTCCCATGGGAGTTACAGACTTTCATTTCAGTCAGAAACTTTAAAATAATGGTGATGAATATAAGAAAGTAGAAGGCAATATGAAGAATTCTAGCAAATAAAAAGAACCAAGATGCTTTTGGTTCTGTACAAGATGTAGTAGATGTATGTATTTCTCTTCCACTAAGCATAGCAAAAAAACCACCCTCGTGCATTATATATAAAACAAACACTAAATCTCAGAAAGGTGGAAGGAGGAGGCAGAACAGATAGGGACATCAGGATCCAAGAAACAACACTGAGTTCCCTGGGTTATCTTTCTGCCTTATAAATCCCATAATGGGTGTTGCCTCATGTCCCATAATGGGTACTAGAGAAACTGGCAACCCAGAAATGTCAAAGGGGATAGGCAGGGGGGATAAAAGCCCAAAGAAAAGACTTCCTTGGCCAAAGAACCAGGAAAGAGGCGGCCTATCAAGATCAAGACAGAATAGTTTTAGACAATAATTGCATTACTCAAGCCAAAGGCTCAGAAAAAAAGGGAGTCCTGTCTCTATCCACTGCCAGCAAAGGCTGAGTGGGAAGCCTACACGCCATGCTCACCTGGCTGTAATGAAGCCACCCTCCCCACCTTTTGCGTGGTGGCAGAGAAGGCTCAGAGAGGAGCCAGGACTTCCGCCCTGCACAGCGGTAATGCAGTAACAAGGAATCAAGAGGCCAAGGGGGAGCCTGCACCGCCACTCCCCGCGACAGGAACAAGGAAGTTCCCCACCTCCCCTGCCAGCACACCGTCATAGAAGTTCTGCTTAAACGGAGATCTGAATAAGATGCAGTGTCTTAGAATACCTAAAATATTTAGGATACCATCTTTAAAATCACTCATTACACCAAGAGCCCAGAAAATTTCCATTTGAATAAAAAAAAAGGCAATGCATGCCAGCATCATGATGCCACAGATTTTGGAATTATCTGACAAGGATATAATAAAAATATTTTAATGAGCAATTACAAATAAACTTAGGAAAAAAATGATAGTCTATCAAAGAAACAGACTATATAATGAGGGACCAAATGGAAATTTTAGATCTGAAAAATACAATAATTTTAAAAAATGTCTATTGATTTCAGAGAGGAAAGGAGAGGGAGCGAAACATCAATGATGAGAATCATTGATCAGCTGCCTCCTGCACGCCCCCTCCTGGGGATTGAGCCTGCATCCCGGCATGTGACCAGAATCAAATCTGGGACCTTTCAGTCTGCAGGCTGACGCTCTATCCACTGAGCCAAACAGGCCAGCGCTGGAAAATACAATAATTTACAAAAACTCAGTGACTAGCCAAAACCGGTTTGGCTCAGTGGATAGAGCGTCGGTCTGTGGACTGAAAGGTCCTGGGTTCGATTCCGGTCAAGGGCATGTACCTTGGTTGCGGGCACATCCCCAGTAGGGGGTGTGCAAGAGTTAGCTGATCGATGATTCTCATTGATGTTTCTAACTCTCTATCCCTCTCTCTTCCTCTCTGTAAAAAAATCAATAAAATATATTTTTTTAAATAAACACAAAAAACAACAACTCAGTGACTAGGCTCAACAGCAGAATAGAGGGGACAGAGGAGAGGCATCCATGTGTGAGTGAGCAGGAGGACAAAACAGTACAAATGATCCAAAATGAACAACAGAAAGAAGAAGAAAAAAAATTAGTAGGCCCTCAGAGATACGTAAGACCTTAACAAAAGATCTAGTATCCATGTCATTGGAGTTGCAGGAGAAGAGCGGGGTCAGGAGGACATACGTGGAAGCAGGTAGCACACACTTGCTAGATTTGGTGTCTGGTAAGGAAAGGGGGCTGGGATTGGAGCTACTGCGGACAGAAGGGAAGGCGACCCGTGCAGAAGGGCACGAAGGTCAGAGGTCCCGGGATCATGGAGCACCGCGGGGGAGGGGTGTTTTGGGGGGTAGGGGGCAGATAGGATGAAGGGATCAGTCTTGGGAAGAAAGGGGCCTCTGGCTCTGAGAAGGGAAAGAGGCCAGCTGGAGATGTACATGGCGAGAAGGTGGGGCAAACGTCATGGCGAGGATGACGTTCTTCTCAGCCAGGGAGGTCCTGCCGAGAGAGAGGATGGACCGAGCAGAGGGCGATGGCGCGATGAGGAAACCGCGGAGCGCAGAGAACCGCTATGAGCATCAGAAAACCAGGAGTGTCCGGCGCCGAGCCGATGAGATGTCTCAGTCGCGCCCCGCCAAGGGTGTCTAGTGACCCACTGGCCGCCAGGTGGCGCTGTCTGCGGAAGCTCACGTATCCCGTCGGCCCTGGCGCCAGTGCGGAAGGAGGCGCGGAGGCGACGCTCTGGCCCGCAGCGCCCGGAGTCTCGTCTCCCGGCTGACGTCGGACAACAAAGATGGCGGCGGGAACCAGCAATTACTGGGAAGGTAAGGGCGAGGCCTCCGGCCGGACCTCGCCTGGGGGCGGGGGGGCTGAGAGGGGACCGGGTGTTGGGGGTGGCAGCAGAGGAAACAGCCTGGCCTCCGGACGGCCGGGCGGAGGGGCAGGACGTCCAGGGGGAGCCTCGGGGCCTCGGGACTGAGGAGGAGGAACCGCCCGGGGCAGGGGGCTGCTGACCCGAGAGGCGGCGGGGCCCGGGGCAGGGGTCCCTCCCACCCGGAGCTGAGCCGGAGGAGAGCCAGGCGGAACCCGGACCGAGGGGCTTAGTGTGAGCTCTGGGATCGGGAAGGAAACGAGTGTCGGACCCTGGAGCGGCGCCTTGGACAGCCGGTGGGAGAGGAGGAGGAGGGGGCAGCGGGCCCGGTGCGTCCCGGGGGCGGTGTGAGCGGAGGGGCTCCGCCTGCGGCTCCCCTGGCTGCTCCGGGCTGGGACGCGGAGGAAATAACCGGGCCCGTCCCCTCCGAGACCCGTTTTGTTAAACAGAGAAAGTTGGGAGAACCTGCAGAGATTGCATTTGTGATACCTATTCTACAAAAAAAGGAAAAAGAAAAAAAGACACACACACACACACAAAACCACTATCTTGTGATTTGACAAGTACGTTTCTTTGATTCCTGAAAATGTGGTCGGATTACAGTGGACTCGTGTAAAAGTCACTTCCCGGATCTCAGTGATGGTAACACAGAGAAGGCTGGCTCACTTTTTTTTTTTTTCTTCAAGTGTTTGCTTTACTGCAACCTAGAGACTGCTCTCTGAATTACTATCCCCCCCCCCCCCCCCTTTTAACCTATCTCCTATTCCTACCTACCCCTGAAGCCTCTGGAAGCCTCCACACACAGCAGGATTGTCCCTGTCAGCCACTGGGTCTAAGACACGTAATTCTAAGTTCTTGCCTACTGGCTTGTCGTCCTTTCAAAATGCTCTTCCTTGCTGTTTTCTACTGGAGAAGACAGTGGCTAAGTAGAGAGAGGTGGGCCGATTCTTTCAAACGTATTTAAAGGGACTGTTTGGAATGTGCGCGCTGGCTCGGAAATGCTTTTTTGAATGTAGAAATGGCTGTTGGCGTCTTGAATACTCGCCACGGGGCTGTGGTTTTTTGAAGCACTGTGCTGCCATCAGTGTAGCAGCTTGTTACTGACAACCTGCTCCGTGCCAGGTGCTTTCAATACAGGGTTTCTAATGCACAGAAAACCCCTGATGACAGGGGTTTAAAAAAAAGGAAAACCGGAGGCTTACAGGTTAAGTCGATTGTCAGGAAACCTCAGAGCCAGTTCTCAGAATCTCAGAACTTTTAGGCTGAGCTGAGGTTCCAACTGAGATTCGGTTTCTGGGAAACTATGCTCCCCTGTATTACACGGCTCCCTACTTCTGGTTGCTGATGAGCGTGTTGAAATAATAGTTTGTATTCCTGTGAACTGAAAGAGGAGGTCCTTACACGATTCTTCCTTTTCATTTTGACCTCCCCTTCACCATGAATGAGGTTACTCATAACAGGATGGGGGTGTTGGGACTGCTGCTTCTCTCACTCAGCCACTCAGATGCCAAACCAATTTCTCTGCTTGCTTGTTTCTGTTGTGTTAAAACTTAATGCTGTTAGTTTCGTTACACTTACCCTTAACCTTGTTAGTAGCTCATTGTCATTGTTAATTCCAGCCTCTCCAAATTTGAGTAAGCTTATTGAAAGACAGTGGTTTACATCTTTGTCAATGATTATATTGTTCTTTATGCTCAATCACTTCAGTCATTCTACTATTAAGAATTTTCATGAGCCTAATAAAGGTTTGGGACACAAAGAGATAGGGACATCTCTGTCAAAAACAGTGATGGTTTCTTTTTTATAAAGTTAAATGGTAAATTAATATAACGTTGGCCATAAACCGCAGTCAGTTTCTTTGTGATTCGTGTTTTCTTTTGTTTTCCCCTGACTTACAGAATTTATTTGTTGCTATGTAAATAATTTCAGGGGGGTTAGAACAGCATTTGTTGTCTAGTTGTCTTTTGGGTAAAGCCGAAAATTTGCGTCTCCCCCTGCCTTTTTGCCCCGCCTGAAGTTTAAAATAAGTGACGGTTTGCTTTGCTGGGTACTTCTTTAGTTTCTTCCTTTTAAAACTTTTTAAAAATTGAATCTAGATCAATATCTGATCATTTTCATAGTTTGCTTTCTTTAGAATAGCTTTGTGAATTTTATGTCTATTGGATGGACTTTTTGTGTCTGAATTATTTGCTTTTATAATTTCGTTAAAGATCTCAGGAAACAGGCTCGACAGCTGGAAAATGAACTTGACCTGAAACTAGTTTCCTTCAGTAAACTGTGCACAAGTTACAGTCACAGCAGCGCCCGAGATGGAAGACGCGACAGGTATAGGTACTACCAGATTCTCTCTCTTATGCCTTCAACTGTATAATGTTTTTAAAGCATTAAAAAATAAACTAAAACATAACTCTGTAATTTGTTCTGTTGGTGAATTTTTTTGTATTTTATTTTTATGTTATTGTTTGTTTTTGTTTCAGTGACTTACAAAAATTCTTTATTTTTGAACTCGTATTAGTCAAAGATTGTGACAGTGTCAGTAGGAAAATGCTAAGGTTTATGAATGAGCTAGTGTCAGAAATAAGTTTCTAGGTCAATCAGTTTAAGAAAATGTGGTTGATTTGTCATATTGTATTCTTATATTTTCTGATTCCTAAATGGATGTGAGGAACTACCCATATGCCAAGTGCATATACTGCTATTCTGGCATTTTAGAATGAATCTAATGCAGTGTATATCCTCCTTATTAATCACCTAAGCTATTTTTATTTTTGGTTCTTTCATGAGAAACCAGTATTCTACTATATTGAATGTATAGAAACTGTGTTTTTTTAAATTAAGGTAACATTGGTAATAACATATAAGCTGCAGGTGTACAACATCGCAATCGGACATCTGTGTGCACTGTAGTGTGTTCACCACCAAAAGCCTAGTTTCCATCTGACACCGTACATTTGACCTCCTTTACCCATGTTTGCCCTCCTCCTACTCTGCTTTCCCTCTGATAAATGCCCATCTTTTGTCTGTATTTATGAGTTTATTTTGTTTCTTTTTTGTATTTCATATATGAGTGAAATCGTATGGTTTTTGTCCTTTTCAGTCTGTCTTACTTAGCACAATATCCTCAAGGTCCATCTGTGTTGTCACAAATGGCAGTAGTTCATCTTTTTCATGGCTGAGTCGATTCATTCATTGATGGATACTTAGATTATTTCCATACCTCGGCTACTGTAAATAATGCTGCAATAATATAGGGGTGCATATATCTTTTTAAATTAGTGTTTTCATAGTCTTCAGATAAATACCCAGAAGTCATGATGGGTCATATGATGGTTCTGTTGGAAAATGTATTCTTTTTTTTTTTTTTTTTTTTTTTTTAATACATTTTATTGATTTTTTTTACAGAGAGGGAGGGAGAGGGATAGAGAGCCAGAAACATCAATGAGAGAGAAACATCCATCAGCTGCCTCCTGCACACCCCGCACTGGGGATGTGCCCACAAGCAAGGTACATGCCCTTGACTGGAATCGAACCTGGGACCCTTCAGTCTGCAGGCCAACGTTCTATCCAGCGAGCCAAACCGGTTTCAGCCTGGAAAATGTATTTTTATCTTTGAATCTTTTGTTCACTTTATGCCATTCACTTGTTTCAAATATATTAGGAAATATTTCAGACATGTAGAAAAGTATAAAGAATAATATATTTGATTCTCATGTTCTTACCTCCCACTTTAAGAAATAATCTTTACCAATTCAGTTAAGCCCCTGATGGCATTCATTTTTTTCATCTTCGTAATCTCCAGATATATTTTATAGTATTTGTTTGTATTTCTAAACAATTCATAATATCCTACCAAAGTTATTTTGCAACTTGCTTTTTGGTTTAACATTATCTTTGAGATTAAGCTATGAATACATTTAACTTGGTATATATTATTACATTATATTATTGTATCACAGTTTATTCTGTAGACGGACATTGTGTCCAACTTTTGCTAATTAATAATAATTTTAATAGCTGACACAGAGTGTTTATCATGTGTCAGCTACTATTATAAGAACTTTATATAAAGATTACTGGGGCCAAGCCGCAGTGGCTGAGTGGTTGATCATCGACCTCTGAACCAGGAGGTCAGGGTTTGATTCCCAGTCAGGGCACATGCTCGGTTGTGGGCTCGATCCCCAGGATGGGATGTGCAGGAGGCAACCAACCAATGATTCTTATTGATGTTCCTATCTTTCTCTCCCTTTCCCTTCCTCTCTGATATCAATAAAAATATATTTAATTTTTAAAAAGATTGATGGGAACATTTTTTATCTATAAAAATGTTTCTATGTATCTCCCAGTGAAATTGCAGGTAGCAGAGTTGTTAGCTGTTATCTTCTCTATTTTACATGCTTTTGTGAGGATTGGTCATGGGTGCGATATTTTTCTCAACTAATAATAGTGAAAACTGACCTTAGATTTGTACCAAGGTCTTTCTATTCCCACTGTCTAAAACTTTCTATGCACATTCCAACAAAAGACTCATTCTGGAACTTGTTGTTTATTTTTAATAGGGCACATTTTTAAAGAATTAAAGATAGCAGGGCCATATTGACCGTAGGATCGAAAAATAAGCTATTGTCATGTCACACACAGCTTTAATTGCACTGCACTGCTTTGGACTCACCTTTACTTAGCAAGTAAAAGAATGAGGAATGTTCCTTTGTATATATTAAGCATATTTCCTGAATTTAAGTCTCCCACTTGGCTATGCCAGGGATAATATAGTAGTAATTTTAAAACTCCACATAGTTAAGAGATACAATTACATGATAATTTTTCTATATTTTCTATGCTTCATAAACTTAATACTTTTGTGACTCCTTTAAAGGAAAAACTATCTTGAAAACATTCCTGGAGAAATTCTGCAACAAAACTGGGACCAACTTTGTGGAATTACTTCAGCCTAATTGTCCCCTTCGATAAGAAACTTAAGGCCATGAGGATCAAGATCCACTCTGCATTCTTTTTTTTTTCTTCTTTTCTTTTCAAATTGCATTCTGAAGTGTTTTGTTTGTTGCTCAGGTTAAAAGCATGTCATGATGAATAAATTCAGTGATGAGCAATTTTTTAGTTTCTGTATTTGAAGAACTTAATGGCCTATGAATCATCACATACCTATAAAATGAATTAAATTTAACTGAATTTTAGTATTGTGGAGAATGAGTTTTTGACCATTTCCCTGGACTCACGTATTCTCCTGAGAGTGGTGAATGTAGAGATTTGCCTCCTCATTTATTCAATAAGCATCTATTAATCACCTACCATGTGCCAAGCAGAATTTTAGGAGCTAGATATATAGATGAATGAGACACAGACATTTTCCCTTCTCATAGAGCTTACATTCATTGACCAGTTTTTCTTTTTCATATGTCCTGTAGGGGAGGATTTGTGTTAGTGGTATAGAGAGAAGTTTTGTCCAGGCACATTTTAAGATACAACTACAGCCGGGACCGGTTTGGCTCAGTGGATAGAGCGTCGGCCTGCGGACTGAAGGGTCCCGGGTTCGATTCCGGTCAAGGGCATGTATCTTGGTTGCGGGCACATCCCCAGTGGGGGGTGTGCAAGAGGCAGCGTATCGATGATTCTCTCTCATCGATGTTTCTAACTCTCTGTCTCTCTCTTCCTCTCTGTGAAAAATCAATAAAATATACTTTTATAAAAAAGATACAACTACAGAACCTTGGCGTGGCTCTGACACACAATAGAGAGCTGGAGCCATGGCCGGGGGCTCAGTTGTTTGGAGCAGCATCCCCCGCACCAGGAAAGGTTTGATTCCTGGTCGAGGCACATGCTGTACCTCGGTTGCAGGCTTGGTCTAGTTGGGGCATGTAAAGGAGGCAACCTATCAATGTCCTTCTCTCACATCGATGTTTCTCTTTCCCTCCTTCTCCTAAAAATCAATTTTAAAAATTTGTAAATATGAAAAACTAATCTATAGAGATAGAAGAAGAAGAATGGTTTCCTTGGGGTGGGCATTGACTGGGAAGAGGCACAAGAAAACTTCTTGAGCCGAAACCGGTTTGGCTCAGTGGATATAGCATCGGCCTGCGGACTGAAAGGCCCCGGGTTCGATTCTGGTCAAGGGCATGTACCTTGGTTGCGGGCACGTCCCCAGTAGGGGGTGTGCAAGAGGCAGCTGATCGATGATTCTCTCTCATTGATGTTTCTAGTTCTTTATCCCTCTCTCTTCCTCTCTGTAAAAAATCAATAAAATATATTTTTTAAAAAGAAAAAAAGAAAACTTCTTGAGTTGATGGAAATATTCTCGATTTTTACATTGTTGGTTATATGGGTATATGAATATACAAAAAAAAGGCATCAAGTTATACTCTTGTGATTCTTGTAGATATTTTTCTGCAAATAAATTCCACTTCTAGATATAATACTCTAAAAAGACTATAATATTACCTACGCAGTATTCTAGCAGAAAATGCATAACCTCAGTCTACTCACAAGGAAATATCAAATGAACAAGAATGAGGAACTTTATTTTAAACAAATGTTCTTACATAAAATGCCCCCCCAAATGACTGTTGAAATGTTCCAGATTAAAGAGCTATGGCGACATGACCACTGAATGCAATAGCTGACCCTAGATTGACTCCTAAATTGGAAGGGAAGAAAGGAATAAATGACTCTGTTGGGACTGATGACAGCAGGTTAAATAAAAGTGCACCAGCATGAGCTTACAGAGTTAACTATACTGTAGTGATGTAAGAGAGTATCTTGGTTCTTAGAATATACACTCTAAGAATTAAAGGTAAAAAACCATGTTATGATTCAGAGAGAGCAAGTGATACATGGGATAAGATAAATCTATGTGGGTTTTCTTTTCATGTTACTGTTTTAATTTTTCAAATTTTTATACATTTGAAATTATTTCCAAATAAAAAGGTGTGAGGTTTTTTTCTTTTTAAAAAATTAGTTTCTTAAGAAACAGAAAGAATGGCTTAGGGATTATACTTAACCTCTTTAAGAATAATTACCTTATTATTTTAAGAATGTTTTAGTTTTAAGTAATGGATTCTCTTTATTTGAACTTCTCTTTAGCTCTGACACAACACCTCTTTTAAATGGATCAAGCCAAGACAGAATGTTTGAAACAATGGCAATTGAGATTGAACAGCTTTTGGCAAGGGTAAGGACTTCTGTTAATGGCTTTTTTGCTAATAATTGTTTATTTGTTAGATATGGTACTAGATTATATTAACACATTTATTGAAGTCACCACCTTTTCATTCAACGTGTGTGCTTCCTAAGCCACTTGAATTTTGATCACAGCTATTTTCAGGTCCCTTGAGAGTGTGTGTGTGTGTATGTGTGTGTGTTTGTTTAACTGTTACGTATTACTTGGTGGAAGTACAGAATACTTGCATACTAGCTTCTTGTTTTTGGTTTATTTGTTGCTGTTAGCCAAAGGGCAAACAGGCAAATAATTTATTTTATCTCTTTATAGTGCTTTCTAAAATATATATTTTCCCCTTTCTCTTCTCTTTTTTTTTTTTTTTTTTTTTTTTAGCTTACGGGAGTGAATGATAAAATGGCAGAATATACCAACAGTGCAGGTGTCCCCTCCTTGAATGCAGCACTGATGCACACATTACAGCGACATAGAGACATACTGCAGGTAATCCTTTGGGCTTGAGGGTTTTATGTTGTTATAGGGTTTATTTTAATCCCTGAATAGATTGTGTGCACATGTATTTAAGAGAACATGGGCAAATCCTCTGAAAGGATAAATGCCATGCTATAGAAGTTTGTCTTGTTTTATTTTTTTTCTTGGTATTATAAAATTCTGAAAATTTCTGATATCTAAGAACTCTTGCTTTTTCCTAGTAAAATTGAATACTATTCATCAGTAGGTAAGTAAACCATGGGAAACCTTGCTAGCTAACTGAAACAGTGAAATAGCCAATGATCATGCATTGGCAATAATATGGTTTAGAGTATACTTTCATTAGCCTTCGAAGGTAACATGGAGGAGGAATAATTTACTATATTTAGAATATTGTTTGAGAAAATATTAAAAGTAACAACAAATGAAATAAACTCTTAAAATATTTATATATGGGGTGTTAATATATACTATAAAATAGGAGGGCAAATCTTTTTAATATTGAAAAAATTTAGCAGCCATTTCTAATTTAAAAACTCCTGTTAAAAGTAGGAATAGAATACTTTAGTTGCCTAATGCAAGAAAAGTGTATTTCAGATTAAAACTTAGCATCATGCTCAATAATAAAGCACTAAAAACATTCCCATTAAAGGAAAAGAAAAAAAAAAAAAGAAGAATACCCACTATGTTTAATACTGTTTTGGAAGTTTTTTGTGGTATACAGAATCTGTATTATGTGGCAGTGATGAGATTATGTAGCTGATACAACCAAAGAAAACTTAGGAACAAATTCAGAGAGATGATAGATCAAATCCTATCTAATAAAAGGTTAATATACAAATAGACCAAATGGCAGAATGGCCAGTTGCTGTAGTGCACACTGACCACCAGGGGGCAGGCGATCAATGCAGGAGCTGTCCCCGCTGGTCAGTGTGCTCCCACAGGGGGAGTGCTGCTCAGCCAGAAGCCCCGAGCCTCTCCCACCTCTGCAGCAGCGCTAAAGATGTCTGACTGACGGAGGAGCAGGCCGAAAGCCGTCAGTCGGACAAACCCCAAGGACAAAACCCCAAAGGCTCTTGGACTGCAAGAGGGCACAGGCAAGGCTGAGGAGACCCCCACCCCATATGTATGAATTTCGTGCACCAGGCTTCTAGTTAATATATAAAGGGAAGTAGTTTTCCTCATACAAACAATAACCTGTTTGAAAATACAATGAAAGAAATTATAACATCCTTATGTATAAATGTAATAAGATGTATAGGATTTGAATGCATAAAACTCTTGTGAGAAATGTAAAATATTTACTCTGCTTTTGGATGGGAAGATTTCTCTCTAAATCATCCTATAAATTGAATGCATTTCCAATGGAAGTAACAGATTTTTTCATTTATTTATTCTTTTTTTTTAAATTGCAAAATGATTTGGAATCCTATACATACAAGATTAACCAAGAAAAAACCTGAAAATGAAGAGAAGTAGTGAAGGATGCTTAGTTCTACTAGATACTAAAACCCGTGAAAAAGTTAGAAAAATTAAGACAGTGTGATCCTAGAAAGGGATCAGTGGAATTGAATAGAGTTTACTTATAGACCCAAATATGCATGGAAATTTAGATTTACCATAAAGGTAGAATTTTAAATCCTTGGGAAAAAGAGAGGTTGTAAAATAAATAGAGCTGTAACTATTGGCTAATTATTTGGGGGGTGGGGAGGAACCAAACCTCAAATTCTCTCTCATTTCTCCCATCCAGAATAAATTCCACATGAAGCAAAGATTTATATGTAGAAAAAGGAAGTTCAGAATAAAGCAAGGGTGAATTTATCCATTTTGGGTAGTAAAGGACTTTCTAAGCAAGACCTTACGCCAGAAACTACAAAAAATAACTTGCTTACTATACAGAGAAATATTAGAAATAAGAAAAAAAAATAGTTTAATATGAAAATGGGCAAAGGATATTAACTTGTATACAGAAAATGAATTGCCAGAGCCATAAAAAGATATATAGCTGCATTCCCAAATCAAAATGAGATAGGATTTTTCACTTGTTAGATTAGCAAATATTGGAACATATGTAACCTATTATTGGCAAGAGTATAGGAAAACGGATATTCATTTTGCTGGGAACATAAATTGGTGCAGTCTGATTTAAATGTAAGATTCTTTGATCTAATTATTCTGGTAGGCATTTACTCTTTAAATGCACTTTAATAAGGGAGAGAGAATTCAATAACATATGTATACAAGAATGTTTATTGTGGCATTTTTTAATAGCAAATAAAACAACTAAAATGTTCATCAATAGTCATTTTATTATGATAGGCGTAGATAGATTTATATTTGATAATGTGGAAAGATTACTTAATAACTTTTGAACTACAAAACGCGGTGTACAGAAGTTAGTATGATTTCTTTAACATAAATGAAAAGTAGATAAGCTTGTATATGTAAGGACATATTTCCTGAAAGGAAATTAAAGCGATGATAATGTTATAAGCTGTGGAGCAGGATGGTTCTACTTTTATTTCTTTCAGTGCTCTCCTAGTATTCTCTCCATGTTCATGTGTTATTTTTGTTTTTTAAAGGATCATAGGGACTTTCTGGGAAATGGGATTGATTTTCATCTTTTTGTACTTCTCTAACTTAAAAAATAATAATAATACTCCTTTTTAGCTTTAAAATGTGTTAGTAGAAGAAGAAAGTATTTAAAGCTTATTTTGTTCTTTACTCTTGGTTCTGTTCTTCACTCTGATTGGTTTAAGAATTAAATTTCTGTGGTAGTTCCAAAGAGGGAAATTTAAAAATAAGCCCATTGGGTGCATTAATGAGTAGAAAAAGCTCTTCAGGTTTTATCCTAGGCTGTTGGAAGACATTTTATCTTAGAATCATTTTTTACTTTACAACTCTGTCTCATAAGACAAGATATGAGAAGATAAAAAGGATGGTGATTTAAGCACTCTTACTCTCCTGTCGTTTAAAAGAAGTCAGTCATTCTTCAGGAAAGTTATTATAATGTAATTTTCTTTTCCTCTTGGCAGATTGACTTCTTAACTAGTAGTTTTCTTGACAGAAGTTTATAATATGATGACAATACATACTGGCTCAGTAAGATGAAAAGATATAATTGGTTTACATTGAGACTGGATATTGATTTATTGCAGGATTATACACATGAATTCCATAAAACCAAAGCAAACTTTATGGCAATACGGGAAAGGGAGAATCTCATGGGATCAGTACGAAAGGATATTGAGTAAGTTACCTTTTATGTTATTTTGTAGGATGTTTGTTCAGATTAATATTTTGGGTATATCCATGATTATCAGCAAATTGAGTGGCAGAATCATGGTTTAGATTTAAAGATTTCTAATGTCTATTTCACTGTTCTTTGTATGGTCCGAGTTTACTTTCCTGGTCTTAGCCCCAGCTTCCCCTAGTTTTATTGCTTCCTGCCAACCTTGGCTTTCCTGTCTTAATTCAAAGTCCAGCTTACATGATATCTTCGTGAGTAAAATTTTCTCTGATCCCCTACCACCCACCTTAAGAATTATAACATTATCAGTAACTGAAGCTCTCTGTGTTTTGCTTCCTGATTATGACCTTCCTACCCCTCTATCTTGTCCCTACAATTATATAATCAGGAAACTATTAAAGTAGCTTTTACTTTCCTGGAATCTGAAATATATCTGTTTTATTCCTAAAATTATAGCTGTATATAAAGTTATTTAAAGAATTCCAATATTTTTATGCTGACTTTATTTTTTTATTTATTTTATTTTTTTTTTTTATTGATTTTATACAGAGAGGAAGGGAGAGAGATAGAGAGTTAGAAACATCGATGAGAGAGAGTCATCGATCAGCTGCCTCTTGCACACCCCCTACTGGGGATATGCCCGCAACCAAGGTACATGCCCTTGACCGGAATCGAACCCGGGACCCCTCAGTCCCCAAGCCGACGCTCTATCCATTGAGCCAAACCGGTCCCGGCTTTATGCTGACTTTAATTCATAACATTAAAGGTTTGTTCTTTTCTTACATCTCTTCACCTCACATTCAATAATATATTCCAGAAGTTCATATACATTTTTGACATTTCTTTTTTTAATCATCACCCTTGAATATTTTTTCCATTAATTTTTAGAGAGAGTGAAATGAAGGGAGAAGGGGGTAGAGAGAGAGAAACATTGATGTAAGAGGACACATCAACCTGTTGCCTCCCACACTTGCCCCAGTGGGTAGCAGGAATCAAACCTGCAACCGAGGTACATGTCCTCGACTGGGAATCAAGCCCAAGACCCTTTGTCCCGGAGGCCAGCGCTCTAACCACTGAGAGCACCTGCCAGGGCCATTTTTTATTTTATTTTTTCATAACTCAATATATCCAACAAGGCTGAATCTATTCAGCATCTAATTGAAGCTGAAGACTTCACACTTTTGATGCCTATCATTGTCTCACTTGTGATAAGTTTATGATACTCATATATCATAAGAATGTTACTTATGATTCATAAACTGTGATATACATTACCCATCATAAGATGGAGTAATCATGTGAACTCTGAGAAACACTTTCCTCAAGATTCTTTATTTTGTAAGAGTAAGATAGTTTTGCAGCAGAAATAATTTAGTATTCATTGCATTCAAAACTTTGTTCAAAACTCTAACCCCTCAATTATTCAGCCATCAAAGTTATGTTTCTACCTCCAGGAATTGTCTTGGAAAAATAATTTACTGTTTGTGTTTTACCTATGTTTCTTATTTTTAGACATATACTTTGTGTAACACATAGGAGTGTAAAGAAAGTAAACTTTCTTGCCATAATTAGGAACCTTGTAATATTTTTAGTTCTTAGGAACATGTAAATCTTTTAATTTCTAAACAGTCTGTTTACATATACCTCTTAAGAAATGCATTTCAGACCAGTGTAGGGAACAGCCTTTAATATACAAGCATTTAGCTTCCTCATAATTTGTGGAAATGACTAGAATACACCCCATTTTAATAATTTGTTTCCTGAGAGATGATCATAAAAGAAACATGTTAATCTGTTCATCTAAACTATTTCCTGATCGCCATCCATGAGTTAGACACTATGCCAGTCACGGTAAAAAGTAGCAATGAAAAGACCAACCTGGCCCTCTAGTGTTTGTAGGTAGGTAGGCACTTACTCAAATTAATATACGAGGCAGAATACAGTTAGTGAGATGAGATATAGTGGTAATAAATGACATTTTCAAGTTTTTGGCAATTACCATTTTGGGGGGTTTCATACAGTCTTTTGGTATTTATAGCAATTCTATTTTATAAAGCGAGATATTAGGAGACTTATCTAAGGTCGCTAACTGGCTATATAGATCTAAATCCAAGCCATCCTTCATTAAAGTCCAGTGTGTTCATTATAACCTTCTGCTTTTCCTGGTGGTCTCTTTCCTGCCGGGCTTTGCTCATTAACTGCCTCTCAGCCAGTAGATGAGTTTTAGCAGTTTTGTCTTACTGCAGTATATGTGCAGTTACTAAAGTTTTTATTTTTGTTCTTAATACTTATTGTGAGTAAAGAACAGAAACATAGGAGTGTTGATAGTAGTGACAAAAGGCATTTTCTTATAAATTTGAATGTGCTTAAGACCAAGATAAAAATCCTTAAGTACGCCAAAATTGGCAGATCATTATCTTCAGTTTAGTGCTCCTTAGGCTTCAGTTGATGGACTACATGTACCATTAGGAAGGAAACATTCCATTTCAGTAGCTCTTCCATCCCACGTGCTGTGTAATATTAGTCCAACTTTTCTTTACGCTTGGAGAAAATAAAATATAGGAGATAATAGACAAAGGAAAGTAAGATTTTTGTTTGTTTAAGAATATTAGAGCCGAAACCCGTTTGGCTCAGTGGTAGAGCATCGGCCTGCGGACTGAAAAGTCCCGAGTTTGATTCCGGTCAAGGGCATGTACCTTGGTTGTGGGCACATCCCCGGTAGGGGGTGTGCAAGAGGCAGCTGGTCGATGTTTCTCTCTCATCAACGTTTCTAGCTTTTTATCCCCCTCTCTTCCTCTCTGTAAAAAATCAGTAAAATATATTTTTTTAAAAGAATATTAGATTATTTTGGTAAAAACTAATAAACTCTTAAGCGTAAATTAGAGCCATTAATATTTATTTATAATAAATTTCATTTTTTAAGAGGAGATGAAAAGGAATATGCATTTTAATTGTTAATTTAAAACTATGTAGCCGAAGCCGGTTTGGCTCAGCGGTAGAGCATTGGTCTGTGGACTGAAAGGTCCCAGGTTCGATTCCGGTCAAGGGCATGTACATTGGTTGCAGGCACATCCCCAGTAGGGGGTGTGCAACAGGCAGCTGGTTGATGTTTCTTTCTCATCGACGTTTCTAGCTCTTTAGCTCACTCCCTTCCTCTCTGTAAAAAATCAATAAAATATATTTTAAAAAAAAACACAAAAAACTATGTAGAGGCTCAATTTGTCCACTTTGGGTATTACTAGAGTTAAGTCACATTGATCTTTTTTTTCTTGCAATATCTGCCAAAAATATTCTTTAATTTTTTCTATTTTGTTCTAGGTCATATAAAAGTGGGTCTGGAGTAAACAACAGAAGAACTGAACTATTTTTGAAAGAACATGAGCACCTTCGAAAGTAGGTATTACTGAATGTATGCATATACTACTGTAGTTTCCCATGCTTAGTAATCATTTGCTTACATAAGAAACTTTTATGGTATTTATTATTGTAAGTGCTTTTATCATTGTTAATTCATTTAATTCTCCTAGTTGACCCTGCTGAGTAGAAATGGAATTGCACTAAAATAATCAGAAAAGATAAGCTATCAATGTAAAAAGTCTATATTCACATCACTTAATTGTCACCAGAAATGTGTGCTTTATCGCCTATTTTTTCTTTAGCAAATCTATTGCTCTAATAATTTTATCCATTTCTATAGGTTATTAGTAATAATACTGATGACTTACGTTTGAATGGCCTGATACCACTTACCTATGTCAAGAAGCGTTATAATGGGCAATTAGTCATCCATCAAACCCAAAGGATATATCTTAGTTTCTAAGAATTCAAAAGAAAATGCCTAAAAACCTGGTTAAACTACACACACACACACATCTTAATGCAAGTCACGAGGCTCTGTCCCTGCTTCATTTATTTTTCTCTCTCATATGTACTGATTTCTTTATTTTCTCTGTATATTGTTATAGAATTTAGGATTGGGAAAATATCTCTGTGAACTCAGCCTCTAACCACTTGAGCAGCTAGTATTCATAATAGTAAAATGTTATGAATTATGTTGATATTTGCTACTGAAAGACATGCTCACATGAGCCTAATATGTACTGTCCAGTTTATTTTTTGTTTAAAGATTACCACTTCAAATATAAACTGTTGAAATTAGAACATGGAAGATCAAGACCTCTTTAGAAGTCTGGGTGCTACTAGTGTCAGATAATTTTTAGTGTTCTTCCTTAATCTGTTTAATATTGTTTGGCACAAGGGGGCAGTCTTTCCTTTAGTATGTGTAGTTTATAGTTATTCATAGCTTGGTCATTCATTTGTATTTGATAAAGATCACCATAAACAGAATTTTTGCATTACATTTATTGATCATGTTAGCCTAGATTATTAGTTAAGGTATTATCTTCCAGGTTTCTTCACTGTAAAATTACTATTATTTCCAATTAATTAATTAACTAATTAATTAATATTGGGGAAGATGCTTTGAGACTGTGTAAATATTCTATTTCTCCTCAAACTTCATTTTTTTATTGATTTCAGAGAGGAAGGGAAAGGAAGAGAGAGGTAGAAACATAAATGATGAGAGAATCATTGATTAGCTGCCTCCTGCATGCCCCCTACTGGAGATCAAGCCCACAACCCAGGCATGTGCCCTTGACTGGAATCGAACCTAGAACTCTTCGGTCTGTAGGCCAACGCTCTAGCCACTGAGCCAAACCAGCTAGGGCTCTCCTCAAACTTTTCCCACTAATAGCATCTATTAGTGAATCTTGCTTCTTCCTCAGTTATTACTGTGGTGTTTGCCTACTAGTGATTTTCTGTTTCCATCAGTTCTTGTACATTTATTAATTATAATTCTATGAAGAAGCACTGTTCTTTCTTCTTTACTTATTTTATTTAATTACTTGTCAATGTGAACTCATAGATACTTATCCTGTTGGTTATAATCCAGCACTGTTATTTTATTTTCAGATTGTTCCACCTTTGGCCATGGGAAGTTACTTCGGGTTAGCTTTTTTCATTGGCATGCCCCATCCTATTTTGAGCATTTCTTTTACTATTTAGCACCACAACATTTTCATGGTGTGTCATGTATTTTCCCTTCCTCGACTCTAGAATCAACCACTTCCCCAAGTAACCTTGGTCATTTTTATTGAAGAGTGGTTCAGAAGCTCAAATATGAGTGCTAGATGTGCTTTTTGCTAGTGAGGTTGTTTCTAGGCTTTTCCTTGCTAAATGTTCATATCTTTTTTTGCATCTACTAAGGTGATCATTTTTTTTCCCTTTATTGCTGCAATGTGGTGAATTCTGTTGATTATTTCTTTCTTTTTTAAATATATTTTATTGATTTTTTACAGAGAGGAAGAGAGAGGGATAGAGAGTTAGAAACATCAATGAGAGAGAATCATCGATCAGCTGCCTCTTGCACACCCCCCACTGGGGACGTGCCTGCAACCAAGGTACATGCCCTTGACTGGAATCGAACCCAGGACCCTTCAGTCCACAGGCCGATGCTCTATCCACTGAGCCAAACCGGTTTTGGCTATGTTGATTATTTTAAATACTAAATCTTGATTTCTAGAACAAATCCCACTTTATTTTGATATATTTAGTACCTTTTTTTTTATATATTTCTGGATTTTATTTTATTAAAAGTTTTTACATTATGCTGGTAAAGAATAGCTTTAGTTTTCTTGAGATGTCTTTGTCTGGTTTTAGTGTGAGGGAAATAGTGGTTCTTTCTATTTGCTGAAGGAGTTTGTGCAAGTTTGGTATTATTTCTTCTTTAAATACTTTATAGAATTATCAGTGAATCCATCTCAGCCTGGACTTTTCATGTGGCAAAATTTTAAAATTATAATATCCTTTGTATATCATTAGCATATTACACTTTGGTTGAATGAACAACCGGATGACTGGACACTTAGCATATTAGGATTTTCCATATGAACACCTATAAGCCTAGGTACTTTTGCCCCCACCTTGTATATTATTTAATAAATATCATATGATTCAGTTAAACACTGGTTATATTATAACATCTGTGAATGGGATAACATAGTAGACTCAGCATTTCAAGATTGGACTTTAGCTTTCTTAACTATTAACAAACCCTAAGAATTCATGGTGTATAGTTTTGTTAAGATACAAACTTGAATGTTACATGTTGAGAAGCTGGTGTTGGGGAAGTCAGTTGGCTGATGAGTACATCTAGCCTATCTGGACAGCAACGCTTATACTTCAGCCTCACTTCCAACTTTATATTTGCTGCTTGTTGTTATTTGCTGCTTGTTGTTATTTACATGGTAACTACCATAAAGTGGTTTGTACACATGCATACATATACTTTGTTTCTTTGTGAAACATTACCCCAGGGAGAAAACAAAAATAAAGGTAATGAGAGTGAGGTGATCCTAAGAAAGCAGTGCTCTTAAGTAGAAAAATGGAAAGTTAGTGGAAGAAACTATATGTAATAGTAGTCATAACCATAAACTTGGGAATATGCGAAGATCTTCAGATAGATCCCTTATGTATGTCAGGGGTCATTTGTGTAATAGAGAATTGAATTTTTAGCCTATAAGAATTGGTAGCATTTGACTATTTCACTATAAGTCTTTCATTCTATTTGTGGAGTATTTTAAAATTACATATCAAAGCTCCATTTGTCTCACGTGGTGCAATTGTCTGCCTTTTGAAATAAATGGCAAAATTAATATTATTCTGAACATACTTTGCTTGTTTTTATGTTCACTAGATAATGTCTAATTTTACAAAGTAAGAATGACATAGGAGCTTTTCTACAGAACTCATTTTTTTTCACTTGTAGCTGTAGTGAAATTAAATTCATCTTCACTTGGTGCATGGCTTTCTTAAACAGTAAAAATTGAGTTGCAGGTGCTCTGCTATAGTGAGGAATTTTCTCTCCCCGGATGTATTATCCATGACGGACATGTTCCAAGACCCCCTTGGATAGTACCGAACTTTGTATATACTGTTTTTTTCCATACATACATACATGCCTATCATCAAGTTTAGTTTCTAAATTAGGCACAGTGAGAGAATAACAGCAATAATTAATATACTAGAACAGTTATAACAATATCTGTAATAATAAAAGTATAATATGCTAATTAAAATGAATGTCCTTCCCGATGAAGCCAGGGCTCGAGGGAAGCCCAGGTCCCAGGTGCCTACCGGCGGCCAGAGGAAAGCCGGTGCCAGCAGCCAGGGGAAGGAGGGCCTACTCGTGCATGAATTCCGTGCATGGGACCTCTAGCACTATAATAAAAGTTGCGTGTTGTCGCCTGGTTGATGTGTGGCTCAGTGACCGAGCATTGACTATGAACCAGGAGGTTATGGTTCAGTTCCTGGTCAGGGCACATACCTGGGTTGTGGGCTCAGTTCTCAGTGTGGGGTGTGCAGGAGGCAGCTGATCAGTTATTCTCATCATTGATGTTTCAGTCTCTTTCCCCCTCCCTTCCTCTCTAAAATCAATGTATATATAGTTCTGTGTGGTCACTCATTTTAGGGATGCCTTGCTGAAGTCTTTGTATAGGCTCAGTGGTTTCTGGTTCAACACTTTGCCATCAGTTGGAACAACTTTTCTCTTCATATCTTCCACCCATGAATTTAATGCCCTTTTCCTCTTAACGAAACACCATGTGGCTGTAATTTTTTCAGTTTGAAGTGCAACAGCAAAACCAGTATGAATTTATTTTTTTCCTTCTCCACAATTTTACAACAGAAGATTTATTCTTACCGTAGATATTAGCAACTTCAGCCTACAATTATTTTCTTTCCTTATTAATTTGAGAACGTTTGCGTTTTCTCTTAAAGCACTTCACACCTTCTCTTTGGCATATCCAAATTGCTAGCGTTATTACTATTGAACTTTGGGGCCATTATTAAGTAAAATAAGGGTTCCTTGACAGTCGATCTGATAATGGAAATGGCCACTGAGAGACCAGCAGGTGGGTGGCTTATACAGGCTGATACACAGGACAAAGGGATAATTCACATCCCCGGTGGACAGAGTGGAACGATGCAAGATTTCATCATGCTACTCAGACAGCATGCAACTTATGAATTGTGTATTTCTGAAATTTTCCATGTAGTACTTTCAGACCATGGGTAACTAAAACTGCAGAAGGTGAAACTATGAGTAAGTGGGCACTATGTATATATCCTATTGAAATTTATAAGGATTATTTCAGTGTTAATTCTGATTGCTATTTTATTATTACAACAAGTGTCTCATATATTGATTCATTTATTAAGTATTTGAGTGTCTCCTGTGTGCTAGATATTGTACTAGACTCTAGGGAATCAAAGATGAATCAGACTCAGTCTCTAACCCATGGGAATTCATTCTGGTTAGAGAAATAATAAACATAATTATGATATCCTGTGAAATATTATATAAAAAGCATTAAATGAGATGACGTAAAAAGTTAAATTTTGCTAAATTTTCCTCCAGCACATATTACAATGTCTGACAAATCTTAAATGTTTGTTATGTTCTTGAATGAGTGATGAAGAGCAAAGAGCCATGAAAACATAATATTATAAAGAGGAATTAGTTCTGCCTAGATGTGCAGATGGGATGGGGAAGGTTTGACAAAAGGATGTGACTTTTGAGCTGGACTTTGAAATATAAGCAACTTATTTTGAGAATCCTGAAAGAGGATTGCAGAGCAAGTGAGACACTATGAGACATAAAAGTGCTTTAATCTATGTCAACCATATATCCGTAGGCATATACAGTTTACAAAATACTTTTGATTACATACAACATATATGCAACAGGAAATCAAGTCTAAGTAGGGAAGAAATTTTTGTTTCTTTTTTCCCTTCCTGCAGAGTTTTTTAACCAAACATTTTCCTACAAATACTTTTTTTTTTAATGTCAACAAATTTGTTCAACTATAGCAGAAGCAGAAAGCTTACAAAAGAATATGGAGAATCACAGTTGCCATTTGTTGTTCTTTAGATAAATGATAAAGAAATGATTAAAATCCTTACAAACTACCTGAATCATAAAGAATCTATGAAACATTAAATAAAAATTCTCTAACTTGTTTCTGAAACTTCTAAAAAAAATAATTTGTATATCAATGGAAGCTAATCTGTTTACAGAAATAAAAATGGAACTATTTTTCCTTATATGTATGCTTCTTTCACATACTTGTAACTCATAAGACAATTTTTAATTAATCATTCAATAATTCAATAAATCATTCAATATCATTCAATAATAATATCAATCATGACCTTCATCAAACTATAAAGAATAACATGACTAATTACTTTTACATCCTAGAACCTGAGTTTCAGTCCAGGTTCAAGCACTTGGCTGCATGCACTTGCCTCATAGAGTTGTCCTAAGGCTCAAGAGATAATGTAAACAAGACAGGGTGGCATTGTTGAAAAAAGACACAAATAGATCAGTGAACAGAATAGAGAGCCCAGAGATGGGCCCACACAGAGTCAGCTGATCTTTGACAGAGAAGCAAAGGCAATTGATTGGAAAAAGATAGTCTTTTTAGCAAATGGTGCTAGATTTCTACTTTCATCTTTGTTTTTCTATATTTTCCAAATGTCTGTAAAATAAAAATGTGTTAGCACTAAAACAAATTTTTATATTCTACTGCAGTTTAATTGTATTCAGTAAACAGACGTTATGGGTCTCTCTGGTTAATTGTAAGTGAAAGACTGTATCACCATAATGCTTGTTGTAAATGATCTGATTGGTTGATTATAACTTCATCAATTGCAATTTACAAAGGGACCAATTTAAAATTTTTATTATGTACTTGCTTGTTTTCTCATTTACTTGCTTACACATTTACTTGTTATTTATTTAGCCACCTACGCTTAAGTTTTAAAAGAAGATTCCAATTAAATGGTATTGTATTTTAAGTTTAGTGTCTACATGTTTATTGCTAGAATAGATGCTTTGTGACTTAAAATGGGAATATGTCCCAATAAAACCATCATAAGTTGAAAATGCATTTAATATATCTAACCTACTGAACATCATAGCTTAGCCTAGCTGGTTTATTTTGAAGGCATATCACTTTCTCACCATTGTAAAGATGAAAAATCTCCCTAACTGGGTTTGACTTGGTAGAAACTGTGTGCCTGTGGACCAAAGGGTCCTGGGTTCGATTCCAGTCAAGAGCATGTACCTCTGTTTCAGGTTCCTCCCTGGCCTGGGCCCTGGTTGGGGCTCGTTCAGGAGGCAACCAATTGATGCCTTTCTCTCACATCAGTATTTCTGTCTTTCCCTCTCTCTTCCACTCTCCCTAAAAATCAATGGGAAAATATCCTCGGGTGAGGATTAAAAAAAAGAAAAGTCATAAATCAAACCATCATAAGTCAAGGACTATCTGTATATAGAAATTTACATGTTTGTATCCTGTGACCTTGTGGAACTCACTCTTTAGTTATAGAAGATTTTATATAGATTTGGGGTTTTCTTTTTTTTTTTTTTTAATATTTTATTGATTTTTTTACAGAGAGGAAGGGAGAGAGATAGAGAGCCAGAAACGTCGATGAGAGAGAAACATCGACCAGCTGCCTCTTGCACACCCCTACCGGGGATGTGCCCACAACCAACGTACATGCCCTTGACTGGAATCGAACCTGGGACCTTTCAGTCCACAGACCGACGCTCTATCCACTGAGCCAAACCGGTTTTGGTTTTTGTCAAATGCTTTTTAGCTTGTTAATAGGTAGATTACATTGATTGATCTTAAATATTTATTCTTCGGATAAAACCTAGTCATGGTACTGAATTCTTTTTATTTATTGCTGATTCTGTTTTCAAATTTGAAAATCACGATTACCAAGCTCATTTTATTTGTCTTAAGCCCTTTACCTGTTATTAAGATAAAAATTGAATAATTGTAAGAAAGGAGAGAAGTTACTGAATCCGAGGAAAGAAATTCTAGGAGCAATCATGTCCCTTCATTGGTGTAAAAGAGATCAAGGAACTATGAGTTTAGGATATGGAGAGTCTTTTCTCTGTGGCTATTTAAATAGTCTAGAATGATAAAATTTGGAGTGAAGAGACCCTCCAATAATCTGGCGGTTACTAGAGAAGAGGGAAGGGAAAGGCATGTGTATTGTCCATCTGCATTGTAAGGCCTCTGCAGGCTAGTGTCTTACCTTCGTAATCCACGTCTGACAGCACCCTTCAGGGGCACGTCCATATGCATTTCTTAATAAAATAAATGCATACTTTATAATTAATAGATTCCACCAGAACAGCGGGTTTATGTGAAAATTTAAATCAACTCTATGCTTAGATTTAAAGTTAGTCTGTAGTTATTGAGAAACTATTGTAATAATAGCAAAAGGTACTTAGTGCTTACTATGTACAAGATACTGTTCTAATCACTATATGTATATATATATATTTTTTTCTTTAATCCTCTTAACAGGTACATCTCACTATCATTCCCATTTTATAGATGAGAACACTGAGGCGCATAATAACTTGCCTGATATCAGATAGCTAGTAAGTGATAGAACCAGCATTCAAAAGCCACAGTCTGGTTTTAATCCTTCCACCATCTTTGTAATTTTTTAAATTTTTAATTATAGGACTTATAGAAGCTATTTATGACATTTTTTTTGAAATTCACCTTTGTTCCCTTGCTCATGCAGTAAATTAGATTTCCTGGTCCAGAATTTTATAATGAAACTTCAACCTATTGGATTATATAATAGAATTAATATAGAATTTATTCATTTTTGAGGTGACAGTTATATAACTTTCAGTGTTACATTATTTTTAATATATATGTTTTATCGATTTTAAAGAGGAAGGAAGAGGGAGAAAGAGATAGAAACATCAATGATGAGAGAATCATTGATCGGCTGTCTCCTGCATGCTCTCTACTGGGGATTGAGTTTACAATCTTGACATGTGCCCTTGATCACATTCGAACCCAAGACCCTTCAGTCCACAGGCCAACACTCAATCCATTGAGCCAGACTGCCTAGGACTGGGTTACATTATAATTTAATATCTGTTTATACTATAGCTTGCTCACTACCAAAATTTGGATTCCATACATCTCCATATATTTGACCCCTTTAGCCATTTCACCTCATCCCACCCCTTCTCCTCTGGTAACCACCAGTCTGTCCATATCTCTGGGTTTGTTTTTGTTCTATTTTGTTTAGAAATTCTTTTGGAAAGAAGTATTTGGGAAAAAGTATGCAAGTATTTATTTGCTTGCCTACTGTGTATCATGCATTATGCCAAATGGATACAGATATCTGGGAATTATTTTCCTACTTTTTGTTGTAAAACTGCCCCTTTACCAAATGTAGCTACCTATAAATTCCTCCCTAAAATGGCCTTTTGGGGAAGTTTCTTTCTTTGCGGAGTGTGATTCATAAAGGTGAACATTTACAGATTAAGGAGCACTTTGTTTCTTTATTCAGATTCTAAAGTTATGATAAGATGAAATTTGGTTTAGTTTCCCAAGAAAAGAAGGAACTTTAAAGTGTAAATAATTACTACTTATAGGCATCAGAACTGTATTTACCTATCCTGTCTCAACAAGTTGGTTGTAATTCTTAAGCTTAGAATAGACAGTAGTGACTTTGATCTATCTAAATTAAAGATGTTTCATTTATTTGTGCTCACATTAAAATTGTTCTGATCTCAAGTTTCTCTGTGGAAGAAATAGATTTAAGCCAGCAAATAAAAGTAAGATGAAAATTATATATGGATAAATTTATTTTAGAGTCCAGAATATTCTTCAGATGCTTCCAAAAGTCTGGGTATTTTGTTTATTAAGTGGTTGGAAAGTTAACGTACCTAGAAAATGTAGAAAAATTAAATAGAAGTTTTAAATGTGCTTTTAATAATTCTAAAATTTGAAATTTTTTATTGCAGCTCAGATCGTCTGATAGAAGAGACAATAAGGTAGGAATACTTCTTTGTTTTACTTTATTGTATTTTTTTATTTGCACACAAATGAACAGATCTGGTTAACCTTGTAAATAGAGTTAAAGTTAATTCATCCTCCTTAAGATGTGAATTTAATTAGGTTATAGTGTGTGTGTGTGTGTGTGTGTGTGTGTGTGTGTGTGTGTGTGTTTTGTTTTGTGTGTGTGTGTGTGTGTGTGTGTTTTGTTATATTTTTCCCTTATAAGAGACATGTGATGCCCAGGCTTTTTTACGTAGGTTGATTTTTCTGATTAATTTATAGTATTTTTTTTTAGCCTTACTTTTTATTCTCTAGTGTCTTGAGCAGTTCATAAAACAGGTAAGAAAGTTGAAGTTCCTGTAAGCACATCAATGATTTATCATTTTAAAAGCATTATATATTATTTGCAGCTTATGCTTTGCCTCTTACTATTTAACCCTTGAAATAACAACAGTCTAGATTCCACTCAGCTTGACTCCAAATGATGATACGAGATGGGAAAGTGTGTCTAGATATACTTTGTGTGGTACTGGAAATCATGCATATTCAACAAGACAATAACATAATGTATGTTGATAATATCCATTCTCCAAGGAATACAAAGTACTTTGCAGAAATTATTTTTTAATCTTCTCTATCTACTTCTGAGTTAAAGTGCATAGGAGTTGGTGATAGTCCAGTTTAAAAAACAGACATATATGATTCAAAGATTGGTGTCAGATTACTCAGCCCAGTTTTTAATTCTGTTACTTTTTATGAGATCATAATATCAATTTTTAAATACTTTGTAAAGTAAATTTATTTTAAAACAAACACATTTAAATGTACATATGCTGTCATCAAGCACTTTTAAACTGAAAAATTACGAATAAGAAATAATGACACAAATGACATTGTTAATTTGACTCTGTGCTCTTTTTGTTTTTTGTTTTAATCTAAAATTCTATGTTATAATTGCCTGCTTCCATTTGCTCTAATTCTTTTTTAAACCTCACCTGAGGTTACGTTTTTTGTTTTTGTTTTTAATAAATCTTCGTTGTTCAGATTATTATAGTTGTTCCTCTTTTTTCCCCCATAGCTCCCCTCCACCAGGTTCCCACCCCACCCTCTGCCCTTAACCACCCCACTGCCCTCATCCATCGGTGTATGATTTTTGTGCAGTCTCTTCCTGCACCCCCCAAACCCCTTTCCCCCAAGGATTGTCAGTCCACTCCCTTTCTATGCCCCTGATTCTATTATATTCACCAGTTTATTCTGTTCATCGGATTTTTTATTCACTTGATTTTTAGATTCACTTATTGATAGATATGTATTTGTTGTTCATAGTTTTTATCCTTTATCACCTTCCTCCTCCTCCTCCTCCTCCTCCTCCTCCTCCTCCTCTTCCTCCTCCTCCTCCTCCTCTTCTTCTTCTTCTTCTTCTTCTTCACCACCTTCACCTTCACCTTCACCTTCACCTTCACCTTCCAGCATTTCATGTAATACTAGTTTGGCAGTGATGAACTCCTTTAGCTTCTTCTTATCTGTGAATCTCTTTATCTGACCTTCAATTTGGAATGATAGCTTTACTGGGTAGAGTAATCTTGGTTGTAGGTTCTTGCTATTCATCACTTTGAATATTTCTTGCCACTCCGTTCTGGTCTGCATATAGTTTCTGTTGAGAAATCAACTGACAATCGTATGGGTACTCCCTTGTAGGTAACTAACTTTTTTCTCTTGCTGCTTTTAATATTCTCTCTTTGTTTTTTGCTCTTGGCATTTTATTATGATGTGTCTTGATGTGGTTCTCTTTGGATTCCTTTTGTTTGGGGTTCTGTACACTTCCTGGACTTGTAAGTCTATTTCTTTCACCAGGTGGGGGGAGTTTTCTGTCATTATTTCTTCACATAGGTTTTTGATATTTTGCTCTCTTTCTTCTTCTGGCACCCCCATAATTCTGATGTTGGTACACTTGAAGTTGTTCCAGAGGCTCCTTACACTGTCTTCATATTTTTGGATTCTTTTTTCTTTTCCGGTTGGGTGTTTTTTGCTTATTTGTATTTCAAATCTTTGACTTAATTCTTGTGATCCTCTAGTCTGCTGTTGTATCTCTGTATATTATTTTTTTTTTATTTCAGTCAGTGTATGCTTAAAGTTGGTCCTTTTTCGTATCCTTGAGGGTCTCACTAAATTTATTGGCAGTTTCTAGAAAATTCTTGAAAAACATTATAACCGTGGTTTTGAACTCTATATCCAGTAGTTTGCTTTCTTCCATTTCTGTCATTTGTGACCTATTTCTTTGTCTCGGCATTTTGGCTGCTTCCCTGAGTTGATAGAGTGGCTCTGTGTGCTAAGTGTCCTATAGGGCCCAGTGGTTCAGCCTCCCCAGTTACCTGAGATGGACACTCTTGGTGCACCCCTTTGTGGGCTGTGTGCACAGTCTTGTTGTAGTTAGGCCTTGATTGCTGTTGGTATCACTGTGAGGAATTGACCTCCAGGCCAATTGGCTGTGAGGATCAGCTGTGTCTATGATGGGAGAACTTCTGTGCTGGAGACACCCTTATGGGACAAGACTTGCCTCAGTAGGGCTTTGATGCTCACTGAGTCTGACCCCTGGGTACACTGGCTCTTGGATCTCCAAGGAGGTGCTAATTTAGCCTCTGCCTGAGGACACCCAGCAAGAACTATGGAGAGATCTGCAGATTCCTCTTCTTTATTTGGGATTTGGAGGTGCCCAGATGAGGCCCAGCTGTGAAGCATTGCAAATTGCTGTGGGGTCTTGGGCCTTCTTTGGATGTTCTGGGTCTCTCTGATCCAGCAGCAGTTTGTTAGGTAAGTTTAGATTTCAAAGGACCAGGCCATTCATATGCAAAAGCCTCTGTGCACAGTTCGGGTGGGGTAGAGTCTCAGGGTGGAGCAAACAGCAATGGCTTCCCATCAGCCCTACCCTAAGGAGCCCCTCAGTCTCAGTGTCCCTTGGTAGTCGCTACAAGCACCTCTGAGAGAGTCTCCCTTGAGTTTCACCCAATGCCAGACAGTCCAATTTCCCTCCCTATTAAGCCTACACTGATGGAAATAAAAAATAATATACAGAGCTCCAAATGGAGTTCAAAGCAGTCGGGAGCTTCTGTCTCCCTCCTATTGAAAAAGACAGCTGCCACCTCAGTTGCCAGCCTTCCCACGCGTACAGTGCGTGCATGGGAATTACCTCTGCCTTTATTTCTGCACCTCCTCTGAGTCTTTGTGTGCTTCTCTCTCCTTCTAGTTGTAGAATTTCCACTCAACAAGCCTTCCTGTGGTTCTGGATGATGTCTGTTTTGTCTTTTAGTTGTAGCTTTGAAGTGGTTGTGCAAGGCAGCAAGTTCAGATGTTTACCTATGCCACCATCTTGGTTTCTCCCCCTCAGCTGATGATATGTTTTTACTGATTTTGAGAAAGATCTGTTGCTCCCATATGCACCCTGTCTGGGCATCAAACCTATAACCTTTTGGTGTATGGGATGATGCTTCAACCAACTGAGCCACCTGTCCAGGGCTTTCTTTTCTCAACTTAACTGGTTATTCTCTGAGTCTGTTTATGCTATTTTGATACTGGGATTTTTAAAAAAATATATTTTATTGATTTTTTACAGAGAGGAAGAGAGAGAGAGAGAGTTAGAAACGTCATCCATCAGCTGCCTCTTTCACACCCTCCTCTGGGGATGTGCCCGCAACCAAGGTAATATCCTCGACCGGAATCTAACCGGGGCCCTTTAGTCCGCAGGCCGACGCTCTATCCACCGAGCCAAACTGGTTTCGGCCTGGGATTTTTTTTTTTTTTTTTTTTTAATCATTATCCTAAGCTCTTCTTTTTCAGAACACCTATTTCTTGGATTTAGTGTCTTCCACCTTCTTGGTTTATTCCCTCACTGTGCTAGACCATGTTCTTTAGTAGCTTTTCGAGAAAGAGCAGGAGGTAAATTTTTTGGACTTCCCACGCCCGCATCTAAAAAAAGTCTTTATTCTACTCATATTCTGGTTCAAAGCATAGAATTCTGGGTTGGAGATCATTTTGAAAATTTTAAGGCATTGTTTCCAGTATTGCTTTTTAAGTCCAATGCCAATTAAAATTTCTAATCCTTTGTATATGATAAGCTGTTTTCTCTGAAAGCTTTTGGGACCACTTCTTTTCCCCTGTGTTTTTATTTGTTTTTAAACTCACCATGAGGAGCTTAGTATGCATCTGTATTTCCTTTTATGTTTTTAATTTACATGAGCTTTCCTAAGGGATGGATAGACACATACACATATATTTATATGTTTTATGGATATGTAATCTTCTTTTATTTTTCTGAAGACATTAAATATAATTTGATTTTAAGTTTCCTGAGCTTCCTTTATTGTCTCTTATTTTCTCAGACTCCCTTTTCTGTTTGCTGGTTGGTTTATTTAGATCTCTGCCTTTTCTATTAGAAGCTCTCCTCCAATGTCTGCTGATTCCCAGCAAGAGTGGGGTTTTCAGAGTGAGGCTCCGGTCCAGTGATGGGAAGTTCATTCTGTGTGCGTGGTGGGGGACTTACTGAGTGGTCGGCCTCACAGTGGCTAATCAGGAAGGGAGCTGGCTGTTCCACAGGGACTTCAAAATGTTGGTGTCTCTAGGTCTCTTCTCCTAGGTCAGTCTACCACACTGGGGGCAATTATCTGAGTGTATGGTTCGGGAAGGTAATTTAGGTTTCTGACAACTCTTTGTACAATTTTCCATTCTTCAGCCCTATTCCATACTTCTGTCTTCAGATGTATCTGATGCCCTCAATCGTGGTACTAAAGTGAATAACAGTAAATATGGTGCTGATAATGTTACTAACATTTCTTGATCACTCTGGTGGAATTCCTCTAATTTTCTTTATTCGATATTTACATATTATGAAAATACAATGTTCTAATTGTAACATTTAAACAATTCTACAAATGTACAAGGTTCTTCTCCTACTAGGGCCCCTCCATTCCTTTCCCTAAAGTAACTTGTATTATTAACTGATGGTTATGTGTCCAATACCCTTTCTTACTTTCATACGAATATACACAAAAATGTTTTGTTTCTTTAAAAAAAAAAAAAAGTCTCATACTGTACACATTCTGTCATTTGCTTTAATCAGTTAGTATATCATAAACATCCCTCCAGGTTAATAGTAATAATATAAATTCATTCTTTCTAATAACCAAATATTATTTCAGATTATGGTTAGACCATAATCTACTAAACCATTCTGGTGTTGTTTACAATTTTCTTGTTTTGTCTTTTACTATTCCAAATAGTGCTTCAACAGATATCGGTTTATAATCTTCTTACACACTTTTATTTCTTCTTTGCCTTCTCAAATCTTAAAATTTCAGTTTTGAATCATTTGTCATGTGCTTAGAGTACTCTCTAGCATTTTCCTCCAGTAGAATACTAGTTCCTGCCTCTCAGACAGCTCCCTAATACATCAGGCCATTAGAGACCCTAAAGCAGTGACATACCAGGTGGCGGTGGATGGCCCATCAGCGTTTCCCCCTAGCAGCTGGTGGCCCATTAGCTGGAAGCTGTGAGCTCTCTGCTTATAGGTCTCTGTCGAATGTGACAGTTCTTTTCCAGCTGCAGGGACTGGGGCAGTTCAGTCCATTACTGCAGCCCTAGTTCTCCCACTGTCTGGCTCCTCCGAATGCAGTGAAACCTAGTCCTTAGCCCAGGCTGAAGGGAAAATCTAGTCTTCCTGCCATCAGCTCCCTGGTGCTTCCTTCACTCGAGAGGGTACCCCCCGGCTTCCTTCCCTTGGAGAGCGCAAGAGAACTCTGGGTCTCAGATGGCCTTCCCCCGCAGTCCGCCTTCGCTCTGTTATCCCCCCGGGTGGTCATTGGGCCAGAGATGTCAGGGATGAGGTCTGTTCTCCATCTTCCCAGAATCTCTTCAGAAACAGCAGGCTTGTTGTTGTTGTCATTAATGTTTCACATATTTTCAGAATTCTTCAAATGCATTATATTATTTCCTATTGCTTTTTATAATGTCAGTATCTAAAACACTCCCCTGTATGTTGCATATGAAAATGGATACTGACCTGCCCTATAGAATTTTAAAGTGCAGGGAGATAAGGCTGATCTTGGGGCAGTGATAGCAAAAAGATATTAACTAAAATTCTTTTTTAAATGGCATCAAAGTAGTCACGTGGAAGAGACTGCACTCTGCAGTGACTTTTTCCCTCTCTCAGTTGTCTGATGACCTTTATCGCCTGGCTCAGATCCCGCATAAGGTTGCATGTGTGTCATGAAAACTACTTGGATCGGTTCTCAAGTAGACTTTTAGAACATAGTCTTTTCATAAATGGAGGTCTGGTTGTATGAATGTTTTATGAAATGTTACACTTTTGGTTCTATTTTTATGGTTGTAATTGTCTACTTCCCCCTCAACAGGTTTTCCTGATTAGGGACATTGTAGTAACTGGTCCTTTTATAGCCATCTTGTAGTATGTGATCTGTCTTACGTTATTTGTTACTTTGTGGGGGAAAACGCAGGAAATGGCTTACTTCCTTGCCCCAAAAGATCCCAGAGGACAGCAGTGGTCATTTAAAAATGGTCAACAGGAAGGTGACTTGGGAAGTGATCTCTTGTTTTCCAGCCCAGTGCTTTTCTTTTCTTTTTTTCCCCCTTTTTTTAAATATATTTTTATTGATTTCAGAGAGGGAGAGATAGAAACAATGGTGAGAGAGTATCATTCATTGATCGGCTGCCTCCTGCACACCTCGCACTGGGGATCGAGTCACAACCCGAGCGTGCTTTGACCGGTAATCGAACCATGACCTCTTGGTTCATGAGTCAACACTCAACCACTGAGCTGCACTGGCTGGGCCCTGCCCAGTGCTTTTCAAGATGATATTGTTCGCCTTAGTTTTCTGTTCACTTTTTTTTTAAATATATTTTATTGATTTTTTACAGAGAGGAAGAGAGAGGGATAGAGAACTAGAAACATCGATGAGAGAGAAACATCGACCAGCTGCCTCCTGCACACCCCCTACTGGGGATGTGCCTGCAACCAATGTACATGCCCTTGACCGGAATCGAACCTGGGACCTTTCAGTCTACAGACCGATGCTCTATCCACTGAGCCAAACCGTTTTTGGCTTTCTGTTCACTCTTAAGAGTATGATAGATCCAAATAGGATCATCTTAAATGCCAATTTAAATCGCCTTTTTTTTTTCTCCCTTGCAGCATTGCTATGGCAACAAAAGAAAATATGACTTCACAGAGAGGAATGTTGAAGTCAATTCAGAGCAAAATGAACACTTTGGCCAGTATCCTTTCTGAAACTGAAATCTGTGGGTCTTACGGAGGGAAGTCTGTGCGTGCTTTCCTCTCTCACCCGGCACGTGGCCATCACTGATGACGTCATATGAATGTCCCTTGCATTCCCATTTTGTGAAAGAGCATATTGTTCGGTGCACGTTTTCATATTGCACAAAAAGTGCGCTGTTTCTAAAATAGGGCACACCAGAGGTTTATGATTATTAGATTGAAAAAAGTTATAAATATGAATTTTTAATTGTTCACAAAAGTTTAGTTTTCAAAAGTTCTCATATCCATTTTAGAACTCCACATATGCACTACTCTTATCTCAATATAAATTATAAGCTTTTTCTTTTTTCAGTTTGGAGATAAGTCAGTGGCAGGTGCTTACAAGGGGAAAGGAGGAGACAGACATGCATGGATGAGGTGTAACTGTTTATAGAACATTTTCACTGTAACTGTTAGTACAGGCTAACCTCTAGGGTAGATTCACTGCTTGTTTGTAGTGACCTCTACCTTTTTAATTCTTCAGTTTCCAAAGTTAAATTAGTGTTACTGATACCTGTGAGAAGCCCAGTGGGAAACTGCTAAGTCTGCTACTCAAAAACATTTCGTTTATTCTCTAAGAAATCAAACCTATCAGGGGATAAAGTTTCCTTCCCCAATTACTATGTTTAGTTATCGTCTCATTTTGGATAATTCAAAGTCACTTTTAATTTGATACCTTAGTTGCTAGGGAAAATAACATTCTGAAGTGTATTGGTGTTTTCCATTTTTTGTGAATTTTGTTCTAAAACCACACATCCAAAGTCCTATTTTTGTATAGTGCTATATATTTTACAGAATACTGTTCTATACGTTCTTATTTTATCATTACCACAAATTATAATCATCCCAAAAGGATGTTTGTGAATAAAACAAATAAAATGAGTGTGAGTCAGGACTCTAGAGAGAGAGAGTAACCGAAACCAAATGAAGGCTGACTTAAGGGGGAGAGGAGGGTAATTTATACATATGTGTGTGAAATTCAGGGGTGGAATTTTACTTACGGCATGGCTGGATTCAGGGCTTCGGATTTTATTACCGAGAATCTGCCTTTCCTCCCTCTGTTCCCCTGCCTGCTCTATTTTCCTGTGTGTTACCCTCATTTTCTGGCAGGTTCTTCCCGCATGGTGATAGAGATGGCTGTAAGAGTCACCTATCAGTTCAGGAATCCCCATGGGAAAGGGTGCCTTTTCTAACCGCTGTGGGAATGTCCCTGGAGGACTGTGATTCCCCAGCTTGAGTCACCGCCTGTTTCTAACGTGCCGCCGCCCTGGGAGGGAGGGGGGAAAGGGGTGCTCTTTCTGGCCAGTCCTGAGGGTGTGTGTGCACTGGTGGCGGAGGACAGGGTCAGTCCATCCTGTCACAGGAACCATTCGATGATTATACGGGGGGAGGAGGGGAAGGTTCTTCAAAGGTAAGCTGGACAGAAAGATGTCCGCTACAGACAGGGTTTCCTAATTCCAAAATTTTGATACTTTTTCAAAGGAGATTATTGATCCTATTTTTACCAAGCAAGGAAAGATTGATTAAGCATTTGCTCTAAATTAGATTAGTATCTTATAGAAGTTTTTGCCTGTTACTTCATGCTTCCTGCCCATCTACATTTTAAGAATTATTTCTGCATATTCTTTTTTCATTATTTAATTTAAAAAACGCATTAAGCCTTGGTCGGTATGGCTCAGTTGGTTAGAGTATTGTCCAATACACCAGAAGGTCGCAGGTTCAATCCCCAGTCATGGCACATACCTAGGTTGCAGGTTCTGTCCCCAGTTGGGGCACTTATGAGAGGTAAACCAATCAATTTTTCTCTCTCTCCCTCCCTCCCTTCCGTCCTCCCTCTCACTCTCCTCCTCCCTCTCTCCCTCCCTGCCTCCCTCCTTCCATCCCTTCCTTCATCTCTCTAAAAAACAACAACATAAAACATTAATGTCTGTAGTATGTAAAGCTCTACTCTAGATGCACAGGGAAATGTAAGATTAGAAGAAAACTGGTCCTGGTCATACAATATGTAGGACATTAAAGGATGCAAATATAGTCAGTCTCTGCTGGGAGTCGTTTTGTTACCGGAGAATGCGATGAGGATTCACGTGGAGTAGGGATTGTTCCCTCTCCCCTCTAGAGTCCTAGGTGACCTTGGTGGTTTTCCTGACCTTGACCTCTACTAACAAAAGATGCACCTGCACCTTTTGCATTTGGTCTACAACCTACAAACTAGAGGATGAAGATATTTTAAAATACTAAGGAAAATACCATTTTAACTGCTATAAAACCTCTATAATTGAAAATGTCTTTTCTTTTTATATGTTCTAAAAATTGAATAACTAAAGTAGTTGAACCCACTTCCCTACCATGTCCTACTTACTGATATAAAGCAAATTATAAAATTTTAGTAACAGTACCTGAGTATGCAAACCCTAGAGTTAGTTTCCACCAATTCCCCAAATCCAAGGGAACTTATCACCCTGTGGGGAGAGGAAGGACACACTTCACATTCTCTGGCAAAACTTTCTAGTACCTTAGAGAAGGAATAGAAAGGGATGGAGAAGGAGGGGGAGGGGGGAGAGTGTGTGTGTGTGTGTGTGTGTGTATAGGGGGCGGGAGGGAGAGAAGGAATGGGGGATGGAATGGGGGGGGCGGGTGGTAGCTGGCTGTACATTTGCTGCCATGCCCAGTGGGGTTCCTCTGTTGACCAACTTGACCTGAAGCCTGGCAATAATCCCTTAATACAGTGATCGGCAAACTCATTAGTCAGCAGAGCCAAATATCAGCAGTACAATGATTGAAATTTCTTTCGAGAGTAAAATTTTTTAAACTTAAACTTCTTCTAACGCCACTTCTTCAAAATAGACTCGCCCAGGCCGTGGTATTTTGTGGAAGAGCCACGCTCAAGGGGCCAAAGAGCTGCACAAGCTCGCGAGCCGCAGTTTGCCAACTATGGCCTTAATGCAGTATACTGTCATTATTATTATTTTCTTCTCCCCCTCTCTCTGTTAATTTTTATTCTTGTTTGTGTGCTGCAGTGTCCTAGGAGACTTGAATTTCTTTGGGCCCTGAGCATTTCCAGTTTGTGTGTTTGCTAAAGGCTGCAACTCCCTCAGTGTGGTTTTCTTCCCGTTACTTACTGTTTCTGTGATTTCTGTGACTTTACTAAAGAAGCTTTCAAGTATGACCTTAATAAAGATTTCCCAAAGATCGTTTTCCTGCTGTGAACAGCCTGATCCAGCGAATCAACCTTAGGAAGCGGCGAGACTCGCTCATCCTGGGCGGTGTGATCGGCGTCTGTACCATCCTGTTGCTGCTCTATGCTTTCCATTGATGGGCGCTGCCAGGGACTTGGGACAACTACCACTTTCAGGCCCTGATCTGGAGTAAGGAAGAGCGGAGGGAGGAAGTGACTGCGTGGTAATCAGCCTGACCAGCAGGAGCGTTCAGGGCTGAGGGTGCTGGACTCTGTGACCTGGTCCCGCTGAGCTGAATGAAGCCACCGTTTTTCTAACACACTTCCTTCTGTTTTTAGTTTTAAAAAAAAAAAAAAGGAAAGGTTTTCACTTGCTTTTGTCTTCCCAGGGGGTAAGTAAACGAGTCAGAAAGAGAGTCTGCGCTTCAGTGATAGTGTCGGAGGCTGATGGCAAGCCGGGTCTTACACTGGGCTCCTCGGAAAGCCAGGTCTCTCTGTCCAAAGACTGCTTTCCTCTGAGCTGCCTGATTGGGTTGTGAATAAAAATAGATCTTGTCCTTTTATTTGACACTCACGATGAAAAGTCACAAGTCGTTTTTAAATCTGTACTATAAATTTCTACTCTGTGTCCCCAACTCTTTATTCAAGGAAAATTCCATTTTTCACAGATTCTTTGAGATGCTGACAGGCCAGCTTCAACCGGGTTGAGGTTGTCTTAAATTATAAGCACTGCAAAAAAGCATTTTTATTTTTTGTAATTCTCACCCAAGGATATGTTTTTATTGATTTTTTTTTATTTTAATTTTTTTGAGAATGAATAAGGGGGAAGGAGAAAGAGAGAGAAACATTGATTGGTTGCCTCCCATATGTATCCTGACCAGGAATCAAAACCGCAACCTGCTTTTGTATACAGACAACGCTCCAACTGAGCCAGTCAGCAGGGGTGTTTTTTGTTTGTTTGTTTGTTTGTTTTACTCGTGTGCACATTGGGCTTAACTGTATTGCTGGGAAAGCATCAAAAATGATAAGCTTTTTAAAAGAATTCTTGTTTTGATTTTTATTTCTTCCATTTGGGTTAGTATTTGCTACTAGAAGACAATGAAATCTTAGTTCTACCAGGACAAAAGAAGCTATAGCCAATGTCTGCCAAGGCCCCCAACTATTCCTCCTGTCAGGATTAACTCTGATGGCCGGGGGAGGGACTGCTCAGTTCTCAGTGAGATCTGCTGAGCAAGCCGCGTGTGAAAAGACATTGAGCAAGGGGTCACCATTCAGATTAATTCCATTTGTAAATGCTCCACGTTTATGAGCAAAAGTTTTAAGAACTACCACCCAGTGTAACAGGAATTCTGTGTTCTGTGAAAATCTCTTCATTCCAAATCATTTAAGCTTTTCCAAACATCCAGAGAATGGAGTCACTGTCGGAGATGCACGTGACAGGATCTCTATCTGCACCCGTCTTCTCTTCCCATCCCCGGACGAAATCCTAAACCACCCACCAGAATTCTTAAGTTTAACCACTTCGCTGTCTCTGTAAGTTCATTATTTTGTCTAACTGAACTTCCCAAATGGTTTGAAGATTTCCAACATCTACATCCTCACCAAGGAAGAGGCTGCTTCTCACACTGGGACTCTTACGCTATTTCCAGTACTGGCTTCAGACTGCGCCGGGAGTGAAAGGATCTTAGCATACAGTCCCTAGCTACGTTCAAGTGTCGATGGTGTGTGTCATTCAGATGAACTTGATGTACAGGCTGATGGGGAAACTAATCCATGGTCTGATGCAGACACTGAAAGGTTTTCCATGCTGGTGTCAGAGTTTTGTTATATTCTGAGTATGAAAGGCATTGGATATTTTTTTAACTATGGGGTTTATTTTTCTAAGTATGGGTTGATTGATCAGTACCGTAGTTGATTGGGGTGCCCTTAAAAGATAGTTTAAGTTTTCCCAATGCGAACCTTCCAGGGTCAGGGAAGGTCATTCATTAAATTCTCTGTTGGGAGAACGCTCTTCTCCCCTGACACTTTATTATCTTTGATTTTTCAAAGGGCCTTGATTGGTGGTTGTACCTCAGCTAGAATTTATGGGACTTTGGTTGCTATATAGTTGGCATTTATAAAATCTGAAGTTTCATAAATAAAATTATTTATTTAATTATACTACCAGTCTTTTTTACTGGTCTGGTTATTTGGTGCATTCATCGAAGCTGGCTGTGTGAGGGTAAACCTAGAACCTATGCTGATCTAGCTCCTGCCACTGAGGAGCCTTCCCTTGGGGTTCCGCTCACACACAGGAAGAGAATTGTGTTGGGACTTTTCTTTGTGAAGATAAAGAGACTAGTTCTTCCAAGGAAGCTGAGAAATTGTGGTGTAGATGCTGCGGTCATATAGGTCTGACTAACCTCCCGCCCAGTGCTTAGCCCGCAGTGAGGTGTCCCGGGCCAAATGAGGATAGGTAGCGAGGACAGTGCCCCTCCTTCCCCTGCGAGTCCTTTAGGACAGCAGTCGCCAGCCGTGAGGTCCGAAAGGTTGGCGGCCGCTGCTTTGGGAGACCTGGAGCAAGAAAAGGAAGCGAGCCATTGACAAAGGAGGCTCACCATGAGCCCACGGCAGCTGGTACAAGAACGCGCAGTTTCATGCCACTTCTTTCTTTAACCATCTTGGTTTTCCTCCCTTTTTTGCCATTCTTACAGAGCGGTTGGTAGGCTCAGGAGCCAACAGGAGGCCACTCATAGAGAAAGTCCGAGGAGGAGAACTTTTCTATTTCTAGTCCCAAATGTTGCCTCTTAGAGGGAACAGTCTCCCTCAGCTATTGTCTTATATAATCTTTCCTTTTGGGATCTTCTTTGTAACCACTCAAAACTTTGCATTTCACTAAAAAGTATGAAAAACCATGGCAACATAGAGGCAGGAAATTCCAAAACATACACTTCTGAGACTGTCTCAATGTGTTGGGAGAACACTTTTCTTTCCTAAAAAAAAAAAAAAAAAAGTTGAATAAATCTCTTAATAAAGTTCAGGCCCAAATGTCCAAGTGCTTTGGTCTCTGCCCTGGCTATCTCTATTATGATTACTTTTAGATGCTGAAGGATTCCCTGTCACCTTATTGGTCACCCTTGTCTGTCTCCTGTTAGAAAAGGGCTTTCCTTCTCCACTATTTCTCTCTCCGTTGTACCGAAATTCACTTCACAGAAAATGCCATTTCCCATACTGCCCGGGGCCCAGATCAGGCATGGGAGTGAAGTCCTGAGACGAGAAGGGTGATGAGAGGGGAGACATCATGAGATGTTTTGTACCTGGAATCAAATATCTTTACTTTAGATCTTTCCTATTAGATGCTAAATAAATCTGAATAGAGGAATGTACCTATTGAGCCTTTTGGCCTCTAAATAATTGAGGCACCTTGGACTCGCATTCCCAACATTAACTTTCTGTTTCACTGTTAATAATCTCAACTTGGTGAAAAGGACTTTAAAAAACTGGACTAGCCTTTTGGTTTCTAATACCTTATATTTGATCATCAATCAGATGCGATTTCTTGGAATTTGAGTTCTCTAACTTGCAACATTAAGCTGATGAGGCTAAGTGGCCATGCCTAGTGTCACACTGGATTTTGTGGCAAATGTAACTAAAGAACAAATGGATTCTACTCAGAAAATTAAAATGGTTGTGCTCCATTCTCCTCTTGGGTTAGGGGTTGTTTAGCTGGTCTCCAAAAAGATGCAGAGCTTTACATCATGGACTTTATAACCTAATCTTATTATTCCTTTTTAAATCTGCGTGTCCTTCTTATAGGGGAAAAGAAAATGAGGAACAAGTGATTCTTAAGGATGTTAATTGGATAAGCTGAGCCATGTCTTATTTTCTTTATCCATAAGGTCTCACTTTAGTATCAAAGTATTTGCAATTATTGCCATCCTATTAGCTCTTAGGGAGGGGAATCGATTCCAATCACATTTTACCATGATGGAAGATGTTTACTCTTGAAAAATGCCAATACAGATTTATAAAAATCTATTCCAAATGCACTTTCTAATATTTTGCTTTTAAAATGGCTTCTTGGAAACCAGTTTAATTGTATTTGTATTTAATTTTTGTTCTCATCTAAATGTGCATTTTCTGACTGTATAGAAGAAGCTTTGTTATGTAATTTAATAATAAACTAGAAATCTAAATGGTTGTGCCTATGGTTGTTTGTATTGGAATAGTACCATCAAGGCAGTTGGGGTAGTGATTATGCAATCTTTGGTTTTGGTATTTCTCTCGATGGCCTGTAACCCAGGGTGAATCATTACAGGTACTGAAAATCCACCACCAGTTATTCAAAATCATCATATAAATATTCCACTAGTAATTTAGCCCAAGAAGTGAAGGAGACTTCTCTTATCAAAACAAAATTTCAGAACATAGGTTGGGACTGTAAAATTTAAAATTTAGCAAGAAAAATGTTTCCACCCTCCCTAAATAATGACTTCTTAATCTATAGATCAGAACTTGATTCTCCACCTCACCAGAGAATTTGAAAATTCCCCTTTTCTCATTACCTCTCCAAATGTTATGTTTTCTGGGTGTGTGTTTTTTTAATAACTATAATTGAGATATAATTCACATGCCATAAAACTCACCCTTTTAGAATGCACTGATAGGTTTTAATATGTTAGTTGTGCAGCCCGTAGCACTATCTAACTTCGGGACATTTTCATCCCCCCCGAGAGGAACCCTGTGCCCATTAGCAGGGACTTTCCATCCCCCTCTTCATCCTTTCTCTCTGACCACTCTGCTTCCCTTCTCAGCCACCCCAGCTTTTCCCTCCGCCCGCTCACGGGGCCTCTCAGGCGGGATTCTCTGTGGCTGCCCCGCCCTGTGCAGCCCGCCTGTGTGTGCACACCTCCACGCGGGCATGCATACAGCCCACCGCCACGTGCGAGGCCGCCTTCCTGTCTCACAGGGGCCAGCCCAGGAGGATTAAGTAACTTGCTCACAATCAGAGTGAATAGTAAAGCAAGGCTTTGAATCCTGCCGGCTCTCTAATGCCCACAAATCTTGTTAGTTCCACAAAATATACTTTGAATGGTGTCGTGTGATTAGGAGAGAAGCTGCAAAAGAACCACCAGTTTTGCCTGTTTAAAGACTCTATT